GTTCCCCCTTATCAGTGAACTAGTCTTCTTTTCCCGGGTGTGAGAGGGTTAATTTTCTCGGCGTATCACCCCCTCGAGTACTGTAATCAGTTAATCACGTTCTGACTCAGCCACTCGCTCGCGTTTCTTGGGTTATTATTGATGAAGACCTGACGCGAGGCAGGAACGGGGCTCNGAGAGGGTTAATTTTCTCGGCGTATCACCCCCTCGAGTACTGTAATCAGTTAATCACGTTCTGACTCAGCCACTCGCTCGCGTTTCTTGGGTTATTATTGATGAAGACCTGACGCGAGGCAGGAACGGGGCTCCGTGGCGCGAGTTTATCCGGGTTACCGAGCAACCCTGCTTCGGACCAGACAGACCAGCCATGCCACGTCTGCGCCGGAGATGGTGGCTCTGCACCGACTCGCATCCCACCGCCTGAGTCTCCCTCGTCACTCTGCAAGCGCTCGTACTCGTGAGGATTGCTCCTGCTTCGGACCAGACAGACCAGCCATGCCACGTCTGCGCCGGAGATGGTGGCTCTGCACCGACTCGCATCCCACCGCCTGAGTCTCCCTCGTCACTCTGCAAGCGCTCGTACTCGTGAGGATTGCTCTTTTCAATCCGCTGACGAAAATCCTTCAGTAAATGTGACTGGTTGCGTAATTTTTTGAACCTTGCTTTCGACGTGAAAGTGTGTGTTGAGGGTGTTAAGTGCACTGAATCGGGGATGGAGAAAATCAACCGGGTTCGCGGGGGTTTTGGACGATGTGTTTGAGGCTAATATTGATTGCGTACGTGACGCCGACAGCACTCGCAAAATCTCGTTGCACGTTTTTGCTGAGCGCTTAGATTTAGGATCCGTGGATGTCGTGTTCGAGTTTGAAGAAGAGGATTGATTCATAGTCAATTCAAATCAGTACAGTCCAGTTGATTAAATATTCCTCTCATACGTCTGTTTCTCATAAGTTTTCTCCTGCTTGCCCATTTCGTAGAAGCGTGTTGACATTAAATAAAGCATGATTCCTTCGTGTGATTTAGTCCTGCAGTCATGAAATGGGAAAACCGGTTCATTATGGACATCCTCATCAAGTATCGGTGCTGTGATGAGATGCATCTCGCAGTCACATGGTTTAGATTTATCTCTCTGACAAGATACAGCAGTCCAGAAAGAGACGATGTATTGTACAGTACTTTACTGATTGAGTACAGTACTTTTGTCGCACGTTATGTAGGTTGGGGGAAAAAGGGAACATATGTGTGGTTGGGAGGAAATGACGAACAGAGAAATGGAAATTAAACACTTCGAATATGAATGCAGTACAGTGAAAATCCTTCCTGACGCATCTCGACTCTTTTTTTTTTTTTATTATGACTGAATTTTTTGAAAGGTCATAGCTATTTTTTTTCGGCAATCTTTTTTAACAAACTTATTTTCACCTGTAATATCAGTACAACTAATTACTGTATTTGGCGTAAATATGTGCATGGGTCATAGGAATGTTTGCCAAGTTGCGGAAAAGTGGCAAAATTTTAACTTATGCAGCATAAGAAGGAAGAAAAGCCAAGCTTTTTGTGCAGGAAATTTAGCACTTCACTGCAGAGGACAAAGGAGCATTATACTGTATACAGTATATATATATTTTTCCAGAATTTGGAATTGGCTCCTTTCTTTTACATGAACTGTGTATTTGAAGGAATTTTACTTTTATTTCAAGGAAAAGACAGGTACCTGAAACGCAAGTGTTCTTACACATATTTTTCAGTTTATATTTCAGTTAGGTTCATTAAATTTTTAGCTAATTTGAAGCAGGGCTACTTTAAATGAGCGAAGTACAGTATATTTTACATTTTGCATTTTATTTACTCACCGATCCAAAAACAGATGAATTGCGAAAAAGTTCAAATATTATTTATTTTGAGAACACTTATTTACTGTGTAAGCAGATCACTCATCACCTGTTTCCCATAGCAAATTGGTTATGAATCTTACATTAGCCGTGAATCTCACTATTCCAAACCAATTTTTTTCATTTTAAGAAATGTTTTCACAGGTCTGTGGAAAAATGTTGCAAAAATATTTTTATTGTAATGATTATTGCCTCTTGTATACTCTTGATGCTGAAAAGTGGCATACAGTATTTGTTTGCTGGTGAACCCTCCTTTATCGAAAAACTCATTAGAATGTACGATCAATGCAAGAAGAACGAGAATAAATCACTAGAAACCATGTTTTGTGTATAACCAGTGATACTTGGCCATTGACTTGTGTAGTGATTGTGACCTACTTGGCAACTAAATGCAAATAATGAGAATTCCGCCGTTCCTTGTCTTTCCTTAGCATCACCAGCATCGTTTATTTTACAGTTCAACTTCTTCTAAGTCAAACCTTTTTGACTAAAATTTTCCAATCAATCCCCTAGAACAAACGAATTTGCGTTAATTTTTTTTTTTTAGGGAGAGAACTAACTTAAAAGGTAACACGGTAATTTGACCCCGATTTAAAATCTTATGAAGGACTGGGTCTCTCTTCCATTAAAAAAATACGAAAGGTATTACCTAAAGGTCCCTATACCGTTGAAGGTGCAACTGGAAACATCTCGAAATGAGTATATCTTGAAATAATTTTCATTTATTAACCGATATAATTCAGGCTGGTTCCACTAACTTTTATGCTTTCCATAATGGATTTCCAGGGATATGGCAACTTCCTGCAACTGGAAACATCTCGAAATGAGTATATCTTGAAATAATTTTCATTTATTAACCGATATAATTCAGGCTGGTTCCACTAACTCAAGAACTCCCAGAATGGAGCAGTTTTCTGAGTTGCTTCTATACCAACTGAACTACTGTACAGTACAGTAGTACTGTGATATAATTTTCCGCATTGCGGATTTGCTGGTTTCATTTCCCTCGAGTGTTTTCATAATCATTGGCGGCCCTTACCTTCCTGTTGTTGAAATTGCTGCTTAAAATATGTCTGCGGCCTTGATACGCGCGTTAAAACGGTTATCTTATGCAAATACGATCCCCCATATCAGTGAACTAGTCTTCTTTTCCCCAGTGCGAGAGGGTTAATTTTCTCGGCGTATCACCCCCTCGAGTACTGTAATCAGTTAATCACGTTCTGACTCAGCCACTCGCTCGCGTTTCTTGGGTTATTATTGATGAAGACCTGACGCGAGGCAGGAACGGGGCTCCGTGGCGCGAGTTTATCCGGGTTACCGAGCAACCCTGCTTCGGACCAGACAGACCAGCCATGCCACGTCTGCGCCGGAGATGGTGGCTCTGCACCGACTCGCATCCCACCGCCTGAGTCTCCCTCGTCACTCTGCAAGCGCTCGTACTCGTGAGGATTGCGCTTTTCAATCCGCTGACGAAAATCCTTCAGTAAATGTGACTTATTGCGTAATTTTTTGAACCTTGCTTTCGACGTGAAAGTGTGTGTTGAGGGTGTTAAGTGCACTGAATCGGGGATGGAGAAAATCAACCGGGTTCGCGGGGGTTTTGGACGATGTGTTTGAGGTTAATATTGATTGCGTACGTGACGCCGACAGCACTCGCAAAATCTCGTTGCACGCTTTTGCTGAGCGCTTAGATTTAGGATCCGTGGATGTCGTGTTCGAGTTTCAAGAAGATGATTGATTCATAGTTAATTCAAATCAGTACAGTCCAGTTGATTAAATATTCCTCTCGTACGTCTGTTTCTCAAAATTTTTCTCCTGCTTGCCCATTTCGTAGAAGCGTGTTGACATTAAATAAAGCATGATTCCTTCGTGTGATTTAGTCCTGCAGTCATGAAATGGGAAAACCGGTTTATTATGGACATCCTCATCAAGTATCGGTGCTGTGATGAGATGCATCTCGCAGTCACATGGTTTAGATTTATCTCTCTGACAAGATACAGCAGTCCAGAAAGAGACGATGTATTGTACAGTACTTTACAATGCTTGGAGCATGAAGGAAGTGTGTCTCAAGGAAAGAATGCTGCTTCGAATGACTGAGCGAAGCGATTGATATTTTTATTGCATTGGTAGGTTTTTTTCATGGGATCTGAGGAACTGGAAAGTTGTACTTGAATGTTTGTTACAGTATTGTGCTGAAACATTGCCCTCTTCTCGAGCAATTCCGCTGCGTACCTCCTTGTTTTAGACCCTATCAGCCAGTTGCTCAAGACAGGTATGAATCCACAAGATGCACTAGTTATAAACGTTTATTGGAAAAAATTTGCGTTGTCACTTTTATGGCCATCTGAAAATCATTGTGTACAGACCACAGTGCGTTACGTACGTTGAATATTATAGCTGCCTCCGTATAAAGTGCAGTAGTGGAGATACAGAATGCAGCATGTATGTTCAGACACAGGTGAACCTCGATAACGCGACCTACCTACCTATGTAAAAAAAAATTGTCTGAATTCATTTAGAAATGAAAATCTCTGACGGAAAGGTTTTTCCCTCTCAAATGTCCATAACAGGAATTTCTTGGGGGCCTTTTGGCTGTTATTTTATTTACACAGAAGAGAGAAAAGCAGTAAGAATTTAACTTGATATTTTTTTTTCTAGTTTGGAGGAGGTGGAAGACTAATAGGACAAATGAACCCTTGCCTCCAAGTTCAGCATCCATTCAACTCATTCAAGAAGCAATTATAACCAATTACTGTACAATGCCCTGTAATTCTTTCTTTACTCCAACAAACCTGCTTGTTTCCCTGATTCGAAACCTCTCTAACTCGATTTTTTTCTGTTCCCTTGAAGTTCGACCTGAAGAGGTTCGACATACTGTATTGTTTTTTTTTTAGCATGAGGTCGAAATTAAAAGCTTAATGACACTCGCGACTGCCTTAGCGCCGCACCAAGTAGGAAAAACACTTGACAAGAACTATTCACCTTTGCAACTGCTTCTCAAAAAGAAACTCTGACCGCGGACTTAGAATAATCTCGATATCGTATTTTCTAACCGTATTTGGCTTGCCGTGTGACTAACTTTCGCCAAATCCCGGTATCTGCTGCTTCAGGAGTGTGAAGAATATTTATTTGTATCCTCGTCGCGGGGAAGAATCTCAGTGCTGATCATAAAGACTGACGGAACTTTTGTGTCGGTGTGTCGTTTGTGCTGTCGCGGAGTCGGTAGTTTTTCGCAGTGTTCGCACAGCCATGTCGCTTCCAGGACTCATGAAAATGGTCTCCAACGCGAGCATGTCCCGTTTGGGACCTGTTCCGAGCTTCACTCTGGTGAGTTTCTGAGAAGCAAAATGAGAAGAAAAAAACAACTGCCCTGTCCATGCATGCGAGTACGCCGCTACATTTTTTGCGAGCATCCGTAACAAAGTTGATCCAATGGTTTGTGGCTTAACAAAATGAATAATCAATTCAGGTGAGTATGCAGAAGTTCGTATCTTACAGGTGGGATTTTACCGTGTGTGTCCAGAAAGAAACTTTGCGAAGAGAAATTCATAATTTTTATGCGTACAAAAATCTTGAGTCAACCACCCACCGACTTCGCAGCACCCGAAGTTATATATATTTTAAAGTCCCTGATCAAAAGGAACGACTGCCGAAATGTATGCTAGGAGGAAGGGCTAATTTAATTTTCCACGAATCCAGTTCAAAAGCAAATGTTCGAAGCGTAGAACATTTTATGTAGTACAGTATATAAATATACTGTAGACGAGCCTACTGTATGTGGAATTGTAGCTTTTGTTTCTGTTACATTTCCTTGTTATCTCTGACACTCCTGCTTGTGAAACCTCCGAAATTTACCGGTAAACTAGTGGAATAATTGATTTTCTTCCCGAATTCACAATTTCTAAATCCAACCAATAATGTATTTTTGAAATTAAAAAAAAAGAAGTGTTCAACTGCACGTAGTCCGTGTTCCTTCGTTCGACACTTCGAAGCTTGAAAAAACTTGCTTCCATCATTCTCACTGTACACAGTTGAACAAAAGGTCGTAAGTAAGCACCTGTCCATTATGCAGACAATCGAGTGATATTGGTGGAATGAAAACCTTACTCTTGGTCTAGCGCCTGCTTCAAAAGGAAACTGGTTTGTTTATGACCCTAAGGAGGAACTTCTCAAGCTTGTAACGACAAAAAAAAATGCAGTCTCGTTTTCTTTTGAAAATTTGGACATTTGATGGAAAAAAAAGTCGAGCCTACATACCTGTCGAATCTGTCAGCTGTCCTTTACACAATAAGAGAAAATTCGAGAGCACAGGTAACTGAAGTTCAGATATACTGTAAATGGAAATTTAATCGAAAGTCAAAATAAATTGTGTTTTCTTTGTGAAGGAAAAATAGTCGATTTTTTGTCTTTTGTTGTAACCTCAGTTAATTATTGGCGACTACATTCAGGTGTCGGCGAAATCCCGAACGAGACTGACCATAACCACACGCACTTGCCCATACCTGATTGATTTTACGAAACTCGGTCTGAAATGAACCTATTGACACGTACAAAAATGTAAGAGACGTGTAAAATCCAAGACCGGTAACAGTAGGCATTCAACAAAAAAGAAAAAAAAATACCATAGCGTCTCAATATTTCCCAGTGCACTGACACTTTTTGGACATCCCATGCTTCGTACTTACGGGTGGAAGCGGCAAGAGGAATGCTTCCTGTGAAGCTACTCAACTGTAATCGGGAACGGATGAAGCGCCGCAGATTGTAAGATTCAGCCAGAGCAGGCCATCAGCCAGGACGTAGTGACTGTTGCTTTGCAAAATAGATGCACGAATGCTCCTGCGGCAAAAACTGAACCTGGTTTGACTGATTTGCGTTCGCAGCTTCCGTCAGCGTCGCAGGCGGACATGATCAACATGCCCCCGTTGCCGCAACAACTCCACGCTGCGAACGCGAATTCGCTGGTCGAGTTCAAGTGTTGTCTGGATATCAACTCGGAGCCGCACGAGCGCCGTTTGTCGGGTGTGATCTGCACGATCGGACCCGCGTCTAGGGAAGTGGATACGCTCGAGAAACTGATCAAGGCTGGGATGAATGTTGCGAGGCTCAACTTCTCGCACGGATCTCACGAGTACCACGCGGGTACCATCAAGAACATCCGAGCTGCCAACGTGAACCACAACAAGATGCTTGGGCGTCCGTTTCCTATTGCCATTGCTTTGGATACCAAGGGGCCCGAAATTCGTACCGGAGTGTACACCGAGGTAATATTTTATTTTAATGCTTCCCGCTGATTTTTTAAAAACAATGATAAATAAAAGACCACCTCCCCTGATCACAGGAACTGTCAATTTGAATGAAGCGTCAGATTAAACCTAATCGAATTGTGCATTATTTCGTACGCAGTTCACATGGCTTCGTTTGCATTGTTATTTTATTTGAAAGGATAAATTTATCTTTCCAAAGGCTGTACCTGCCTTAGTTTGGGAAATGTCATTTCAAGATAATCCTAACCTCCTCGGTAGAGTTTGTTGCACTGACATTTTCAGGTTTTTTATAATGAGATCATTTCAACTTGGGATTGTTGCAAAATATCGGCTTTTTGTCAGCGCTTGAGAGATAGTTCAGTGTGCTGGAAAATTTGTTCAACGTTTTACTGTGTATACAAAATATGCAAGTACAGTACAGTGTCATTTTTTCCTGTAAACTCCAATGAAAACATCTTCAATTGCTTATCCTATTCGTCAAAAATTTGGAAAAAAGTGAAAAAATGTTTTTCTCAGCGTCGAAATTCATATTCATAGTGTGAAGAAAACCACACAGAGTCTGCCCTTTTTCATGGAAAGGGGGTAAGAAAGCAAAGATCAAGACCTTTCCTTGCCATTCTCTGCTGGGGTGATACCAAAACTTTAAAAGGAGCAGCACAAAATTAGCCTGTTTTGTATTTTAAATTACTGTGAAGTGAATTTATAACACTGCAGCTTACTTTTGAATTTTTCTGAATATTTATAGCTCAATTTGTTGATCTATCACAATTTTGAAAAAGAAATTTCCTTTTCTTTACAAAATTAAACTGTCCATATCTTGAGACCTTGTCCAGATGTTGGGGTAAATTTTTTGTTTTGTATTAGGTGTCCCCCGCAATTGAATTGCCCGTATGTTGTGGCTCCACAACATACAGTACATTGTACTGTATTGCAATCGTGCTTGCTAGGTCGTACCGATGCAATTAAGGCTCTAAAAAATCATGGAAACTATTATGGATATTTCTTTAACCTAAGACTGCTGTATTAAATAAATAAATATGTACAGTATATATGTATATACGTATACAGTATTTCTAAGCTGAAATATGGCGTTCATCTTTCTTGCTGTTGAATCCGTTGACCAGCATCATGAATGAACTTTTTTATTTGGCAGGGTGCCACGGCAGAAAAGAAGCTGGAGACTGGAGGCAAGTTGCGTCTGACAACTGACGAGAAGTACGAGAATGCCTGCACTGGCGAGCTCATTTATCTGGACTACAAGAACATCACGAAGGTGGTTCAGCCTGGCAGCCGCATTTTCATCGACGACGGCCTCATCTCCGTCAAGGTCGCATCTGTCGGACCCGACTACCTCGATTGCGAAGTGGAAAACGGCGGCATGCTCGGCACGAAGAAGGGAGTCAATCTACCCGGTGCAGCTGTCGACCTGCCGGCAGTGTCTGAAAAGGACAAGCAGGACTTGGTCTTCGGTGTTCAACAAGGCGTGGACATCGTGTTTGCGTCGTTCATTCGAGATGCGGAAGGCGTGAGGGCAATCAAGAAGATCCTGTCTACAGCCGGGAAAGATGGGGATAAGATTATGATTGTGAGCAAAATTGAGAACCAACAGGGTGTTGCCAACTTGGACGAGATTTTGGAGGTGTCCGATGGAATCATGGTTGCCCGTGGAGACTTGGGCATTGAAATTCCCCCGGAGAAGGTTTTCGTAGCTCAGAAGATGATGTTGGCCAAGTGCAATGTCGTAAGTGCACCTACTATGTCAAGTCCCTGTCTGAATTCTCTTGAAATCAATGCATTGAAAACCTCACTAACTCTTCAGCTTTTCTCTCAAACCTTCGCAACTCGAATTTCGGGTGGCATTTTGGCCATTATTTTATTGACATAGGTAAGATAATTAATAATAAAAATGTAACTTGATGTGCAATGAAAGAAAGTTAGAAAATAATTGGGCAAATGACTCATCAATTCTCCAGGTCGAGGCCATAAAAATAGCGCATTTTGGTTTCCTCTAATTCTTCATACTGTATTTATCTCCAGCAAAAATGGCTGTTACTCTTACTCGAATTTTTTTGCTCATCCCTTTGACTTGAAGAGGTTCGACAGTATTGTGCATGATTTTTTGAATGTTCTTCCTTTTGAGGGAGGAGGCTTGATGTATTTCATTGGTTGGTGCCGCGAACTGCATGTGATGCAGATTTGCTGAATTTAGGTCATTGTACAAGTACAGTATACTTATGAAAAAAAATTCAACTGCATCAGGTGGGGAAGCCGGTGATTTGCGCCACCCAGATGCTTGAGTCCATGGTGAAGAAGCCGCGCCCGACTCGTGCCGAGGTGTCGGACGTGGCCAATGCTATTTTGGATGGCGCCGATTGTGTGATGTTGAGCGGAGAGACGGCCAAGGGCGACTATCCAGTCGCTTGCGTGCAGACCATGGTGAATATCTGTCGGGAAGCCGAAGCGTCCGTGTTCCACAAGAGCGAATTCTCCGAGATGTCGCAAACCATCCCGTACCCTCTGGACGCCACGCACTCTACGGCCATCGCCGCTGTCAAATCTGCTTTCAACACGCTAGCTACGGCTGTCATCTGCATCACTACTTCGGGTAAAATATTCATATTCCATTGAAATATATGTCAGCATTGTTATTGCATCGCAGTACTGTTGATAATATTGAATGCCTTATCGATTGTAATTTCCTCGTAGCAGAAATTAATTTTTCTGTGCATGGTGATTCCTTTGCCAAGGAACCCACCTTAATTTTTATTATTTCAGAAAGCTATGACCGTTAGATGAAATCTTGAAAAAAGAGAGATGCCTCGTTTATTAATTTTCGTGAAGGAAAGAAAGACATCTTGTATTCGTTCTGAAAAACGATATTCGGGGCCTGAGAAAGCATGTTTTTTTTCTCCAAGGGTTTAAGATTCCTTGCTGAAATTTTGATGTTAATGAGTAGCATTCATAGAAAACAATTAGTTTGTCATAATTAAAGGGATTAGGAAGATGAATGTCAGGCATTGTCATTGTTTTCATTTGTGGTCAATAAAAGATGCTGGGATTTGCTTTGAAAAGGCCAAAATCAACTCTCTTCTTTCCTAAACGCTCAACACATTTTCTGATTTGGATGATGTCAAATTGTTTCCCTTCATCCGTTTCACCTTCTTTGGATGCGATTTCCACGTTATTACAGTATTTGTTCATGACTACCCGTTATCTCTATATTTTTCCGGTTATAATATTTACAGTATTCCGGCTTAAATTTCCCTCGATCGTAGCAGGTTTTCACTCTCAAAATGTCACCCAATACAGTACGATTTTTGGAATCAATTCTGTTGCAAGAAATGCAAACTTTGCGAATGCGTATTCGAAACTGCAATCGGTATATTGAATGATAGGCTTGTTGAATCCTTTTTGGAGGAAGTGATCATGATCAAATTGTCTTCTTGCAGGTCGTTCGGCACATTTGGTGAGCAAGTATCGCCCGAGGTGTCCGATTATCGCCGTTACCCGACTGGAACAAACCGCTAGACAATGTCATTTGTGGCGTGGCGTGATTCCATGCTTCTACAAGGGTGAGTTGTGTGCACGCAACGAAACAAAAAATTAGTGGTGTCCATACACGGTCCTGGTGTCGTTTAATTGAGATAATTTTTTTCATGCTTCTCGGGTTTTCTTTTTCCCCCTTCTTCTTCATTTGGTAATCGCGACAGGGGAAAAGCCGGATCCGCACAGTTCGGAAGGTTTGTGGACTGCCTCAGATTTTTAGAAGTTGTCTTACTCTCCGAGTTGTTTTCCGCTTGTATAAAATTTCTTTAATGTTATGTCATGCTCTCATGGGTTAGTTTATCCCGGTTCATATTTAATTTCAATGAAGTGAGCACCATACCACTGCTGCATGCTGATGTCTTGATTATTCGAAGCAATCGTTTCTTTAGACTTGGTGAATTGTACGTTCAAGACGTTTTCATAGTGATGCTTGTTCATAATCTTTATTTTCTACTAAAACAATAGAAAATCCTCGATTCTTTTTCCTTCTAGTGATGGTATCAAATCTTTTGTGTGTCCAGACCTAGGTCAAATGAAAGCCGGCCAACGTCTATTGAAAGCTTCGCAGAATTTAAAATTCCCCCTTTTTGAAGGTCTAAGAATTGTGCAGAGAAGCTGAAATCAAATCTTGCTACAGTCGTAATGTTTCGTTTTTACATTAAAAAATTTAATGAGAAAATTTTCATTGAAATGTGTCCCGAGTTCCTTAAAAATAGAAGCGTAATTAATTTTTCGTTCGATTTTGTTGACCTGCTGAATTGTCCAGATCAGCTGTCGTTTGGTTAAATTTTGGAGAATTTGCCTAAATACACCGGAAGTTTCTGGCGAGTTTATAGCTGGAATCTTCTGGCTTAAGAGCGGTTTTTTTTTTTTTTTCAAGATAACTTTACTGTATTTGAGAAGCCCCCAGCGCATATGTGCAGTATTGCTTTGAAGCCTAGTGATGAGCTTTCATATTGCTCGATGGTTGTGAGAGGCTAATTTTTACTGCAGTGACGAATGTTTCCTAGATGTAGGATATTTTGCCGTGTTTCCCCGGAAGTAAGACCGAGTTTTATTTCAATTTGATGTTCGATGAAATGTTTGAGGGTAGATTCGATTCCTTATATGCGGTATGCAGTCCTCACTACAGTTTCAATCTCCTTAGCTTTACCAAAAAAATCGTCTCGCGCATAATGAAACATTCTTTTTTGATTCGTGTTTATTTCTTTGCTCTCTTTTTTCCTTTATTTTTATCGGTTTTCTTCTAAAGGATGTATCCAATTAATTGAATTTTCTAGCGCAGCGATCTATTGAAAAAAAGCTGTTCAAGGAAAAATCTCTATTTGTTTGATTAAGTAAATTTTATAATTTCATTTTATTACTTTTATTCTTTCTCAAAACATGGCGATGACATCATATTTAAAGAATGTATCATTTATTTTGAAAAGATGTGCATTTACTAAAGCTGAAGTCTACGATCGCTTGTGAGCAGTAGTTTTTCGATTGAAAATAAATTGTGAATAACTAAAAAAAAAATATTTTTACATTTTTCCGGTTAAACTCCGGGTCGCTGTTGGATGGAAGTTTTCGAGGAGGTTTTGCTGGTAACTGTATCATGAATAGGATCTACTGTACAAACTTCTCAGATTCGGAAGAAAGCTAATGTAACCAACATGCTTTCTGTTGGTCGTACGCTAAATTGTTGTCGCATCAATGGCGAGTTTTAATGATCGGTATTTCTTTCGGGGATAAACAGCACTTCTTTTTCAAGTAGAAATTGTGCTAGTGAATTGATTCGCTGAATTTCCCTCCCATTTATCGAACGATTCCGTCCAAATAGAAAACCGCATGGACGACTGGCTGCGTGACGTGGACCGCCGGGTGCAGTACGGCATCGACGTGGGCAGACAAGACGGCTTTATCAAGGTCGGCGACCCGGTCGTCGTCATCACCGGTTGGCGCAAGGGCTCTGGCTTCACCAATACCATGCGCATCCTGTACGTAACTAATGACTCGGAAGAAGGCTTCCCAGAAGCCATGAACGATCTTAAGATAGAGTCCGAGTGAAGCGAGAGAGCACACACAGTTGTTTCACTTTGGTGCTTTGATTGATTGGTCGATTCATTATGTGGTTGGTTGATCTATTAATCTGGGCTTCGTACCGAGTGAGTTCACTATAGTTGTTGGTCTGACTTACGCTGAGCAGAAAGAGGAGGAGGAGGAATAAAAGAGGTGTGGTAAAAATGAACGACGAACGAGTCCCAGTTATAGAAAGCTTTCGTGGCTCACGTATTAGCCGTTTATAATAAGCACAATCTGTGTTATTAAAATTGCAGTATTTATTTATCTCCTGCGAAGAGCGAAAGAGTCTTCTTGGCATGTTGCTTTGAACCATCTCAAGTTGAGGCTAGTGGTTAGGGCGGAACTTTTTTCGAGACCTCTCTGCAGACTCGCTGTACTTGACAAACATTTTCTTTCAACGAAAAACTTCGTACAACGCTTCTCTGCTCCAAAGATCTACTTTATTTATCTTGAGTGCAGCTCCTCTACGATTAAATTCTGCGTACAGTAAAACGCTTAATTTTTTGGGATCTTTGTTAAGAAAGGCTGCCTCTCATTGTGCAATGATTTCGAATATTCAATACCACGGCTTGTCTGAGCTTTAATTTATTTTATGCGATTGAACGTGATTTCTACCCCAGAGGTGCGAGCAGTTATTAATTTCAGACGTGAACTCACTCATAGCGTCTATATTAACCGCTTGGTTCCCGCGGAGGTTAATTTTTTAGCTTTTTTTTTTTTTGCGTGTATGGCTTTTTGGTTATTTTGGCTTTGTTTTTGGAACATCCCTGCGCATTTTTAGTCGTCACTGTTAGCTTTTACGTGAAAACGAATTGCAACGAACTGGGAATGTGCAACCTTGATGAGAAAGTGGCTGAAAGTGTATCCTGGGGAGAAATATATAATTATCGGCGTGTATGCGCTTTAAAGAAAAAAATCGCTGCCCAGTTTTCAATCTTGTCGATAATGATATGTTTTTTACCCTCGTAGTTGCATGTTGCCACTCCGACTATGGTTTCTTCCTTTCTTTTTTTTTCTTTTGCATGAAGGTTTTAGGAGTACTAACAAGCATCTTGTTGTGCTTGGACTTCATCTGTCCTAAAACTGACCAAAAAATCTGCATCTCTGATTGGATGAAATACTCGAGGCAATAACACATGACGTAAGATGCATTACGAACAGCCTGATGACGATAAATTGCAGTTGACGCTTTGTCGTCCTTATTTTATTGTAATTCGATTTTCGGTTCTTTTTACGTTCATTTAATTAAAATGTACTGTATTCTTGTCTGTCTGATTCGAGTGCTACTCTGTGACATTGTCACTCGAAGCGATGGAAAAAATTTTATAATGTATAACGAAAAACTATTCCTTGTTAGTCACTAGATAATTATGCGTTTATAATTCGTGGATCTGGAAAATGTTTCTGCACTGTGAGAAATAATTTGTAAATGAATAAACTGATGTTCCAAACAGCTTCGATATGATTACTGTACGGAACGTCGAATTTTACGTTTCCATTTTTAGTTCGACAGATTTAATCAACTTATGAAAGTTCACGTTTGAGACGAATGGATCAGTTGTTGAAAATGGCCGTCTCAAGAGTTTAACAACATGTTGGAATCTGTTATACGCAGCAGATTTTACACACTGCTATAGCCAACTTGAAAAAGTTGACTGAGCGCTTTTGTGGGTGGCCATTTCTCTTTTTTTATAATGCTGTTTATATAATATTATTAACTAGACGCTCGGGTACAGGTCTAAGACGACTGACCTGGTAAAACAACCTTCGCTTGAAGTTATTTACCCACCCATCTACTCCTTTTCCAACAGACATATGCTCGACGACTTTGCCCTGGTCAACAGTGAGCTGGAAGTTGTGAATTGGTTCCAGAAGCAGTGACCTAATATTTCTGCCTAATTATGAAGAAACTGTTGCTGATCGGATGCACTGTAAGTTTTCGTGCTGAAGCATTCTCGGTTTTTTTTTCTTATCTAACTCGATACTTCGTAAGCTGAGAATTATGAGCTGGCAGCATTGTTTGAAGTGTCGAGTCGTTGTTTAAAGTTTGGCGAATATTGTGAGCAAATTCATGCTTCTGTGGAATTTTTTGAACGTTTCTGAAGCACATACAGAACATTTTAATTATTAATTAACCTTTTTTTATTTATTAAACATATGTTTTGCCTTTCCTAATTAGTTTCATTGCAACTCGTTTCTAATGTGTACAAGATACAATATTTTGCATTTTCTTTAATTGAGACAATTGAATGTGTAATCATACATCAGTTCGTAACATTTTTGAACGTAAGGTTGTTCAGGATCCTTGAACGAGGACATGCTAATGCATGACTACGTGCCTTATTTAACTGAGTAACCTGCACAAACCCCGCCCCCTGAACATGGTAAAAAAAAAATGCTTGTCATACTCAAGTACCAACTTTTCCTGCACATCTTCCAGAATTTTGAGTGCATTATCCTTGAATTATATTGCAGATCAACTATAAAAGAAGAGCAAATTAAATGAAATCAAAATATCTTTTTCTTTGAGTATAAATTGATATTGTCAACTGTTACTATCAAATTGTAAACATTTATTCATTTGGAACTGGGGTGTAAACATCTTGTGGGCATATATATTTTACCCGATCCTATAGACAAGCTAAGTGCATGTCTATAGGGAATTAGTGTGCGGTACTCAAGTAAAACATCATATTCTTTATTAAATCTAAATATATTCAACTTATTTTGCGAAAAATATCTCGAAAAATGCGAGTAGCATAAGTAATGGTGGTTCAGCTCAAGAAACCTTTTTTGTGCGTCTTAAATAAATTTTAAAAATGTAGACATCGTCAGTTTTGTTCAACTTTTGATTGCATTTTTGTGGCATATAGGTCCTTCTGTGCTTGGGAGGACTGAAGGCAGAAGATGAGGTATTGGAGGTGGATAACAGTGATCTGTAAGTGCAACTGTGACTTTTCTGAAATGGTAAATCAGCATATTGTCTTGACAATGCCAACTCTTTGCAGTGAATCTGGGTTCCTTGGAGAAAGCGATGGCTCCTTAAGAGAGGAAAGGTCATATGCTTATATGCCAGCACCGTCTTACATGCCATCATATCCAGCCCCATCGTACAGCTACCCTGCACCATCTTACAGTTACTCTCCACCTCCCTATGAGGCACCATCTTATCCAGCTCCCTCATATCCAGCACCCTCATATCCAGCACCCTCTTACCCTGCTCCCTCATATCCAGCACCCTCATATCCTGCTCCATCTTACCCTGCTCCATCTTATCCAGCACCCTCTTACCCTGCACCATCCTACCCAGCTCCCAGTTATGACTACAAACCCCCCATGTATGAGCCCAGCTATCCAGCTCCATCTTACCCAGCTCCATCTTNTTATACGCAGCAGATTTTACACACTGCTATAGCCAACTTGAAAAAGTTGACTGAGCGCTTTTGTGGGTGGCCATTTCTCTTTTTTTATAATGCTGTTTATATAATATTTAATTGATCTGCGAGCCCATGTCCAGATTCTGCTGACTGGACCATTTTGTTGGAAGCGAACTTCAATAAATGGGTGGGTAGATGAGGAAAAGGTTGTCTGTATACGAGCTGCTGAAACGGGACCAGTGCAGTGTGCTGGAAGTTGTGAATTGGTTCCAGAAGCAGTGACTTAATATTTCTGCCTAATCATGAAGAAAATGTTGCTGATCGGATGCACTGTAAGTTTTCGTGCTGAAGCATTCTCGGTTTATATTTTTCTTATCTAACTCGATATTTCGTTAGCTGAGATTTATGAGCTGGCAGCATTGTTTAAAGCGTCGAGTCGTTGTTTAAAGGTTAGTCGAATATTTTGAAGTTGTGAGCAAATTCATGCTTCAGTGGAATTTTTTGAACGTTTCTGAAGCACATGCAGAACATTTTAATTATTAATTAACCTTTTTTAATTATTAAACATATGTTTTGCTTTGCCTAATTGTTTCATTGCAACTCGTTTCTAATGTGTATAAGATACAATATTTTGAAAATCACCTTTTTCTCTAATTGAGACAATTGAAAGTGTAATCATACATCAGTTCGGAAAATTTTTGAAATTAAGGTTGTTCAGGATCCTTGAACGATGACATGCTAATGCATGACTACGTGCCTTATTTAACTGAGTACCCTGCACAAACCCCGCCCCCTGAACATAAGGAAAAAATAGGATGCTTGTCATACTCAAGTACCAACTTTTCCTGCACATCTTCCAGAATTTTGAGTGCATTATCCTTGAATTATATTGCAGATCAAGTATAAAAGAAGAGCAAATTAAATGAAATCAAAATACAATATCATTTTCTTACAGCATAAATTGATATTTTTAACTGTTATCGAATTGTAAACAGTTATTCATTTGGAACTGGGGTGTGAACATCTTTCGTGGGCATGTATATTTTACCCAATCTTTGACAAGCAAAGCTCGTGTTTATAGGGAATGAGTGTGCGGTACTCAAGTAAAACATAATATTCTTTATTAAATCTAAATATACTTATTTAGCGAAAAATATCTCGAAAAATGCGAGTAGCAAAAATAATAGTGGTTCAGCTCAAGAAACCTTTTTTGTGTGTCTTGAATTTAAAAAAAATATTTAGACATCGTCAGTTTTGTTTAACTTTTGATTGCATTTTTGTGGCATAGGTCCTTCTGTGCTTGGGAGGACTGAAGGCAGAAGATGAGGTATTGGAGGTGGATAACAGTGATCTGTAAGTGCAACTGTGACTTTTCTGAAATGGTAAATCAGCTTATTGTGTTGATAATGCAAACATCTTTGCAGTGAATCTGGGTTCCTCGGAGAAAGCGATGGCTCCTTAAGAGAGGAAAGGTCATATGCTTATATGCCAGCACCATCTTACATGCCATCATATCCAGCCCCATCGTACAGCTACCCTGCACCATCTTACAGTTACTCTCCACCTCCCTATGAGGCACCATCTTATCCAGCTCCCTCATATCCAGCACCCTCTTACCCTGCTCCCTCATATCCAGCACCCTCATATCCTGCTCCATCTTACCCAGCACCCTCTTACCCTGCTCCATCTTATCCAGCACCCTCTTACCCTGCACCATCCTACCCAGCTCCCAGTTATGACTACAAACCCCCCATGTATGAGCCCAGCTATCCAGCTCCATCTTACCCAGCTCCATCTTACCCAGCTCCATCTTACCCAGCACCATCCTACCCAGCCCCAAGCTACCCTGCACCTAGCTATTCTCCACCACCCTATGAAGCACCATCCTACCCAGCACCATCCTACCCAGCTCCATCCTACCCAGCACCATCCTACCCAGCACCATCCTACCCAGCACCATCCTACCCAGCTCCATCCTACCCAGCCCCAAGCTACCCTGCACCTAGCTATTCTCCACCACCCTATGAAGCACCATCCTACCCAGCTCCATCTTACCCAGCACCTTCCTACCCAGCACCAAGCTACCCAGCACCATCTTACCCTGCACCATCCTACCCGGCTCCATCCTACCCAGCTCCAAGCTACTACGGTTGATAAAAACCCGGAGCTGCAAACTGTGTATCTTGAGAACCGGTTACCCATCAAATCACCCTCTCTGAATTCGCAAGTTTTGATCCTGTTCGTGTTATTTTCTGCTGTCTCATTTTCGCAAATCCAAACAAAAATGTGGAGAACTCATTCCAAAATATAAAGATACTTTGCATCTATTTCATCCAATTTGTACCTTATTTTTTCTGGATGATCTTTGCATGGTAAAATGTGTGCCCTGCACTGCTCTTTATTTTTATCCATCAATGTAATGCGGCAACTGATCCATGCACAATTGAACCTATGCTTTGTTAATTTTGTTCTGGCATGAAACTCTTGAAATATGAAGTTTTTGAAGTACGTTTCTGAGTTTTTTCCCTCCGTGAAACATGCTACTGTTCAAAGTTTGTCTTAGGTTTTTACCTGCATTATTGGTTTGAACATACTTTGCACTGCACGTACCATTTTTGGTAGCACACATATATTGTATGCCTTTGAAAGTATAGTGCGTGTCCATAAATTATGTACAGAGCTCATCGTATATAGATGTACTGGGTTTTGCTTGTTGAATACTGTGCTTCAAGGTTTTCCTGTTGTAAAAGTTTTTATTAAAAATAATTCAACTGTTGGAAATTCATTTTCGTTTTTATTTATAAAATTATTTTTTATGATGCTGCGATTTGATTTGAAGCGGGAGAGATTGATTTTAAACTAGTGCATGCCTGCCGTTAAATTATTATTTTTGCGTATTGTGAAGGAAGATTTAACTTGCATGTGTTAATATTGTTTTAATACTGACGACATTCCTTTTTTTTTCTCTTGGGACCTGCTTTGGTTTTGGGTTCTTAACATGGTGAATGAGCAGCTATGCCACTGAGGGCGCCTTGTTTGGGGGATTTTCTTCTGATCCGGATGGGTTTACAGACCTGTGGTGAAAATGGCCGGAGCTTTTCCACTTGCTGCATCCCCATCCGGATCAGAAGAAAATCCCCCAAACAAGGCGCCCTCAGTGGCATAGCTGCTCATTCACCATGTTAAGAACCCAGCCCCAAGCTACCCTGCACCTAGCTATTCTCCACCACCCTATGAAGCACCATCCTACCCAGCTCCATCTTACCCAGCACCATCCTACCCAGCACCATCTTACCCTGCACCATCTTACCCTGCACCATCCTACCCGGCTCCATCCTACCCAGCTCCAAGCTACTACGGTTGATAACAACCCGGAGCTGCAAACTGTGTATCTTGAGAACCGGTTACCCATCAAATCACCCTCTCTGAATTTGCAAGTTTTGATCCTGTTCGTGTTATTTTCTGCTGTCTCATTTTCGCAAATCCAAACAAAAATGTGGAGAACTCATTCCAAAATATAAAGATACTTTGCATCTATTTCATCCAATTTGTATTTTTTCTGGATGATCTTTGCATGGTAAAATGTGTGTCCTGTACTGCTCTTTATTTTTATCCATCAATGTAATGCGGCAACTGATCCATGCACAACTCAACCTATGCTTTGTTAATTTTGTTCTGGCATGAAACTCTTGAAATATGAAGTTTTTGAAATACGTTTCTGAGTTTTTTCCCTCCGTGAAACATGCTACTGTTCAACGTTTGTCTTAGGTTTTTACCTGCATTATTGGTTTGAACATACTTTGCACTGCACGTACCATTTTTGGTAGCACACATATATTGTATTCCTTTGAAAGTATAGTGCGTGTCCATAAATTATGTACAGTGCTCATCGTATATAGATGTACTGGATTTTGCTTGTTGAATACTGTGCTTCAAGGTTTTCCTGTTGTAAAAGTTTTTATTAAAAATAATTCAACTGTTGGAAATTCATTTTCGTTTTTATTTATAAAATTATTTTTTTTTTATGCTGCGATTTGATTTGAAGCTGGAGAGATTGAATTTAAACTAGTGCATGCCTGCCGTTAAATTATTATTTTTGCAAAGGAAGATTTAACTTGCATGTGTTAATATTGTTTCAATACTGACGACATTCCTTTTTTTTTCTCTTGGGACCTGCTTTGGTTTTGGGTTCTTAACATGGTGAATGAGCAGCTATGCCACTGAGGGCGCCTTGTTTGGGGGATTTTCTTCTGATCCGGATGGGNTCCTTTTTTTTTCTCTTGGGACCTGCTTTGGTTTTGGGTTCTTAACATGGTGAATGAGCAGCTATGCCACTGAGGGCGCCTTGTTTGGGGGATTTTCTTCTGATCCGGATGGGGATGTAGCAAGTGGAAAAGCTCCGGCCATTTTCACCACAGGTCTGTAAAGTGAGAAATTATTCTTGAATAAGCACTATTTGCTTCATCTATTCACCTGATGCTGGCGAATGCACAATGGCTGTTTTCATTGGCTTTGAATTCGTTCAATGTTCAACAGAAAGATATATTTTATTTTATTTTAAGCAATGATTGCATTATTGTGAATACGCTATGCGTGTGAGATGAGTTCTTCGTCTGTGAATTTCTGAGTTCACTCACGTTTCTTGATTTTTCTGTTTGCGCTTCTTCTGTTTCGGTTGCCATTTTTCCCACAGAATGGTAGATGATACGTGTATTACCGAATCTGGATTGAAACTGGTGGACGAGGTTGTCGAGCTGTCAGATGCCATTTCAAGGTTCTATTGACACAAGTCCTGGGCACCTCTGGATTCATGGAAGAACCTCGTCCTTTTTGTTGCGTGATTACATGTTATTTATGGTCAAAATTTCCCTCTTCGTCCTTCTGCGAGATTAGAGAGGTTCTCGGGAGGTAGTCACGAAGAACGATGGCTTTTTGCAGTTGTCCGAGCTTTTGTTCGTCCGCGATTGTGAACGTTTCAATGTATGGACGTGCCATAAGTTAGGCGTGGAACTCGGTGGATGTGCTGCGGCCTTTATTATCTGCCGCCAAGTGTTAGAATCCATGACTGTGCCATGACATATAGGAATAAAAAAGCGATTCTCCTTCACGTATTCCTCCGTTGTTCCGTTATGTTCTGCATGTTATTTTTGGCGCATGCTTGGAGCACTTGGAAATGATCAGACTTCTTTTAAATTTGGGTTGTTTATACAGGTGAGAATGCCGCGGATGGAGTGGTTCCCCCCAGTTCCATGTGCTGTACTTGCATTTGAGAGTATTGAATTGAAACATACATGTCTGTGGAGGTGGTCCAAGGACTGATAGTGCGAAAAAAATATAAGGGTGTTTATTAATTCGTGCGAGGAGGCTTGAATTTATTGACGGAAGTCCATCGTCCATTTTACCCACCAGCACCGCATGGACGTGTTGGACGCGTCTGTTCCTCGAATCGCTGCGATCTTCACATGTGAGATCGATCATCGTCTGTGGGTTTGTTTTCGGATTAAAGCTCTTCGTGATCATTTTGCTTGTGGAATGTCTGACCAGAATGGAGAAAATAATTAGTGCTCACGGCTTCATCGTTTATATTTTTGGGTAGGCTCTGTTCTGAAGTCTGAAGGAAGTATGTGTTCCGTCACGGAAAGCTTTTCGCGAAGTATGGCAGCTTAAGAATAAATCCCTTCTTCGTGCAACATGGAAGGCACAAGAATTCTCGCCGGACGCCTAGCAGAGGCTATGCCCTTCTTGCGACGTAGTGAGCCTAATTCAACGGAGAAATTATCGGATATTACTTACTACCGAGCGCTGCGTGATCCCGGTCCTCCGATCAATCCCATTTGTGACAACCGGGCCAGTCATGTTGAACATCCGAAGAAATCCATGGTGCATGTGCATTTGCAGAAACCTCAGGACATCAAGTGTTTGCAGTACTCCGAATCCACAGAAGTCAAGGTTTGTTCCTGGAGTAATACGCAAGGCTTGGGACTCATTTCATGTTTTTCTATTTCCCTGATGATTTAGGATCTCTTGCAACTGCTTTCTTCAAGAGTCTCCTGCCATTTGGGCGGCTGTTTACGGTATCACGCTTTGTGTCTAGTCCACGTACCTTCTGGGAAGCGGTATTGGTTACACCGCAATTTAACTATGAGGCAGGTTCATAAAAAATACATGTCGCGTCACCCGCGTGAAGAGTGGAAATTCTTCCTGCGAGTTCGCTATTTTCCGCGTTATTTTGAAGATATGGCAGCGGATGATTCAACCGCTCTTCTGTACCTCCAAGAACAGGTTTGTTTTTCCAGGGACATCGTGTTTCATATTCATCCGCGCAACGCTTTTGTTTATGCAGCTAAAGGAGCAGTTTTTCGAGGATGAGCGAGAAGATTTCGACTTTGCCGTTGCAATTCGTCTTGCATGTCTTGAGATGCGGAAAATGTACAATGACATGCACTCCTTCGCATTGGAGAAAAAATCCAACTTCGACAATATTCATTTGGAGAAATTGATACCGCGTTCAGTACTGAATCGAACGAAGACGAAATTACTGAGGAAGCATATTCAGCAAATTTTTCGGTTATACTCTGAATACGACTGTGATCGCTGTGCTCTCGAGTTCTTGAAAGAACTAGTGTTGTGCAAGAACTTCCGTGACGAAAGTTTCAACTGCGATATTGGTAGCAGACCTGCGATTCCTGCTGAAATTGTCGTCGGACCCGAGATAGGGATTGCCTACCGGAGAACATCATCAGAACATGTAAGTAATTTAATTACAGCTTGTGTGTTGCTGTCGAAGATTGAAAGCTGAGCAGTGCCGATTTAGTGTGTCATTTACCGCAAAGCCTGAAGGGTGCTCTGACCTTCTTCGAACACGTCAGACTAGATTATTCTTTTGGGAAAGCTTGAGGTATTGTCGAAATCTTCTGGATAGCTGAGTGCATCGTGATCGAGTTTGCGCTTACTATTGTTATAGGAATTCTCTTCAGTTGAGAAGTTTTTGAGCATAATTCGGAGCTGCGTTGAATTTTATTTGAAATTTAAGGTGAATTATTTGATAAATCTGTTGTTTACATTGTATTCATGTGCAACGAAGCAATTGCGTCTCCATCCTTTTGTACAAGAAACAGTCATTTGCCCTGATCAACAAAATTCGTTCAGATCTGCGTATAAAGTTCAATTTGACACGTTTTTCTTCTTTTAATGAGATGCAGAATATGTTTACAGTAATTTGACTTGATTTGAAGAATACTTTTTATAGAAAGGCATTCTCTGAATGAGATATTACACTCAACCATCTGTACTCGAATGTAAAACGCTGTTTTGTTGTCGGGCGGACTTAACCTAGGATGCGTCTTGTTTTTGCCTCATCAAGTTCCCGGTCAACATGGCGTTTTACAAACGAAATCTTTCGATTTAAAATCAAAGCTTGAATTGAATGAAACAAATCCTTACTCCCATTTTCAATTCAAGAGTGTAATATATATACTTCCGAGTGGATGTGTTGGAGAGCATGACACTTGATAACGGAAGCATAATTTGAAATACAGTACAATATTGGAATTCCTTGAATATGAACTGAATTCGATTTTCGTTACTTCTTTGTTTAGTTTTTCTGAGGTAAAAAAACAAAAGAAAAAAGAAGAGAGCTTCTTTTATACAGTACAGTACTGTACTGCAATGTATTATTAGATACGGGTGAAAATTCAAATAAATAGCCGTTTTTAAGGTATGGCACCCTTATACCTGCTAGCCGACGCAGTTTGTTCCACTTGATCCGACGAACTAAATTAGCTCAAATTCTATAATTCTATCATTTTACCTCCAACTATTTTCAGCCATGTCGTGTTGCTCATTTGCACGAAATCGTGAGCATCCGCGTCGCTGAGCTACAAAGTGCGAGGTTCCAAGTCCACCTTTCGCGCGTTGATGGCGAGCCCGTCATTTTGACTTTCAACTATCCTGAGGATGCGGAAAGCCTTGCGGACTTGGTTGACGGATATCACCGACTACTGAAGAACACGGAAGCATCAATATGGCTGTCGAGCAATGAACGGAAGATCCTGCTGACGGGAGACCCGGGGAAGCAACGGGGATTACGCGATTCATATCAGCCGCTTTTTGGCGACTGGGATAGCAGTTTGGGATACGGTTCTACTGCGGAATTGATTGACGATGATGGAGATTATTCTATGCCTGCCGGTAATAATTATTTTATATTTATTTTTTCTTTGGACACCGCAACATTGAAAATTGCTCTCTTGTGCTGCTCGATGTCTTCAATTCTTCAAAATTATCATGTGTCTGACTAAGTTTGATAGAGGGAGGTCCGATATATTTTCTATGCTTGCATAGCTTTCTTATGCGAAATCGCCCATTTCGTTTCTCACTGCTGTGAAAATTTCCCCCGGTCATTTGTTTGATAATTCCGTGCCGAGTGTGAAACGTCCGACGAAAGTCCGAAGGTTTCCTTGGAAATTTTGCTCGAAAGTCTGTCTGAAAGAAATCTGTCGCTCCTCATTACTTCATACTGTACTTCAATTTCTCTTCAGTCTTGCCCTTCGCATCGTATGGTATTTCATTTTAAAACTACTGAGTCATAACTGTGCAGAAAATTGATGCGAGACAAAAATTATTTGGATCCTTGTTCTTGGATCATAATTCTCCACGCCACTCAATAATCCATACTAGGCCATGAACCGAAACTTACCTTAATTTCCTGAGATCCTCCGTCATTTTTGCTCTGACCAGAAAAAATTCTATCATACTAGTTTAGATTCTGGAGCAACCATCTCATTCCTCAAATAAAAATGAATACGTCATTTACCTGGTAAAAGAAGCTATTTTCAATTAAAACGGAGTCTTCAGATTCAAAGCTTTATCAGATTCTAGCTTTTGTGGCAGGTTAACTTCGCTTCTATGCAAAAATTGGTGCCCCTTCTCTCTGTCTTTTTTTCATTTTAACCGAAGGGATTACGAAAATCGTATTCAAGGAAGGGTTAAATAGCGTATGTCTGTAGTACTGTACTGTAATGCCGTATACATTTCCCCTGAAAATAACTTGGCTGAAAGTAACATAAGCTGAAATTGCCTGTGTATCAACCCTCGATAGTATGACAGTTTGAATCTCACAAGGTTTTTGAAACTTTTTTTTTTTTCAGCTGTCGGCTTTGAGTTGGAAAGAGAAACAATTACACTCGGAGAAATAATCGGCGAAGGCCATTTCGGTGACGTGCATAGAGGAATTTTTTCAAGTTCGGACGGGTCACTAACCTCCGTGGCAGTCAAAGTGTGCAAGTCCGAGTCTGACCAATCCTTCGGATCGAAGTTTCTGGAAGAAGCCTGCGTTATGCAGCAGTTCGACCATCCGCATATCATCCAACTCATCGGGGTCTGTTCCAAGACACCCATTTGGATCGTCATGGAACTAGCCACTCTGGGTGAACTCCGAGGCTTCCTGCAACGCTACCGTGAGGAGCTGCATTTAGATTCGCTGTTGCTGTACTGCTTCCAGCTGTCGACTGCTTTGTCTTATCTGGAGTCGAAAAAGTACGTTCATCGTGACATAGCTGCGAGGAATGTGTTGGTTGCATCCATGGAATGCGTCAAATTGGCGGACTTCGGACTGAGTCGACACGTGGAGCAGAATGACTATTATAAATCATCCCGAGGAAAGCTGCCGATCAAGTGGATGGCGCCGGAGTCGATCAACTTTCGCAAGTTCTCTACTGCCTCCGATGTGTGGATGTTCGGAGTGTGTATGTGGGAAATACTCATGTACGGAGTTAAGCCTTTCCAAGGGGTGAAGAACACGGACGTGATTGGGAAGATTGAAAACTGTGAGCGCTTGGGTGTGCCTCCTGGTTGTCCTTCGTCATTGTATGCCCTGATGTCGGTATGCTGGACGTACGAGCCCGAGAAACGACCGACTTTTCAAGAGGTCAAACGTAGATTATTGTGAGTTGAAGTTGTTTCATAACGATTCGATATAAGGTTCTTCATTTTATGCGGGCGATACACGTGTTACGTTGCCTACAAAAATAGTAATGCAGTATTTCTGGAAGTTGTGAACTTACATTTACGAGCGATAATTTGTTCTAAGAGAGGTGGGACTGTGTGGAAGAAGTTCGGAAAAATTCCCACTTAGTCATGTCGGAACCGGAGATAAGGCGCTTGTGAAAGAGGGAGAGGATTATTTCAACTCTTCCTGGTCAAATTTTAGCATGGTTCATTCGCTACCAATAAAAGAAAATTATGTAGTCAACAGGTGAATCATCGAATATAGTGCATGAAATACGTATTTTCCCCAGTTCCGTTATTTTATCTTCTATCATAGGTGTCTTACAAAAAGACTCCTATCAAAAATTCAAAATTTCTGTTTTTTTTTCTACCACATTAGTCGAGTGTCGGAATTGAGACAATTGAAATTGTCTGCATGTCTTGTAAGCAAAATGTGATTACTGTATATCATACGAACCAGCGAAAACTTGGTTACGCGTCGCTTGCGGGGATATGTTCTTCTGTGTAAAATTCTATGCCAAAAAATTGAGCGGCGCTTCTCACTTGATGGCGCGTAGTATGTGAGTAATTAGGGTAATCCTCTCGGAATCCCAATATAAAATGCGGGATTTAGTTTCATTCAAATTTGATATTCTTGTTGCCTATAAGAATGCTTGCCGTCATTCCTTTTTGAAAATTGATACGTTTCAGATCTTGCGCTGATCAAAAACCATTTTATTTGATTTTTTTCCTCAGCCACATGTTATCACCAGAAGCTAAGCAGAGTGTTTTGGACCCGGTGCCCAGTCGCCGAACCTCCGAGACAAGTGACGAACCACCGACGAAGCCACCGAAACCCGGATCCTCGACTTATTTGATCGCTCGCACGCCAGAAGTTCTAACGGAACTGATGCGAGAGAACAGCTCGCGGTTGTCTCAAGCTATCTACGATGCACCGGCGACCCCGTTTAACACGGTAATGCTAGACTCACCGCCGGGCTTTTGGCTTCGTAACACTAACTCCAGGGATGCTCCGACTCGGGGTTTCGCTCTCTCTGACGCTTCCGGCTCTCGTTGGTTTTCTAGTGTAAGTCTTCGCGCATATCTTGCTACTACCCTCATGTTGGTGCTTTCGTTTTGGGGGACTTCGCGGTTTTCGTCTAATTTTTTGTAGCAGAGCGACTGCTCTGCGTTTTTTGTAGACTTAGCTGATTGACTTTGCTTCCGGTCTAAATCATGGGGGTGGAAAATCAGCAACATGTCTGGTTGCTCGCGGAGTTTGTTTGTTGAGCTTGAAAATTTAATTTCGACAAACTCCCCGATCTAGTGACGCAAATGCGCTGAAGTGTGACTAACGTTATCCATTTAACTCGTTTTTGAAGTCCGCAATTAAGTATGTAACATTCGAGTGAGGACGAAGTAATTTATTCAACTCTCGTTTGCTTTACAATCAAAGAATGCGAAATGCTGTTGATCTGTTTCTTTGGCAAGCTTTCGACCGAATGAATCTTGTAACTTCGTTCCGCTTGCTCGCATTTTCCGACTGTCCCACGTATTTTCCTATAGAAAATATCTTGTATGGATATTGAATTGTTGGCGCTGCTTCTTTCGTGTTTGTTTGTTTTTAGCTTTTTACTTATCGAAGAGTTTTCACGAATTAATTCAAATGTCAGCATTGAAAATTTGAAATGGTGTGGCTAATACGGATTCATTCTAAACCTGAACACCGTCTAGGAATGTTTCTTCTACCATAAATCCTACAGTTCCCGTTAGCAAACCTACGTGTGCTCTTAAAAATGCTTGTGTTATATCTCCTTATGTCCGTGGTCTAGTTTTCCTATTCCCCGCAACGTCGGGCCAGAGGTTCTTTTCATTTAAGGATTTTGTTTCATCAGAGTGGAGCTATAACTGATGAGACGCAGCTCCAATTAGAAAAGGTTCGTCTGGAATCTCGGCTGAAGAAGCAAATGGAGGAATCGCAAAATGACAACGAATGGCTCGCGGAGAAAGAGACTACTTTGGAGAAGTGCGCCGGGGTGCCTGTGAGGAGATCCCGGGGAAGTACTGCGAGTGATGATCGGGAAGAAATGGGAAAGCCATTGGCAACATCCAATATTGTTGTTAAAGTGTTGGAGCCGAGTCCGACTGCCGAACTCGATCGACAGAACGATGACGTGTATTCCGGGACGATTAACGTGGTCAAAGCTGTCATGAGGCTAAACAAGGGTAAATTGACTGAAATTTGCTAGTTTTTCCGCGGTCTGATGTATTGGCTCGAATGGCATTCGGGCATCTGGAGGGAGTTGCGTGGGACTGCCCTTGATGACATGAAATTAAGTCCTAGAAGATTTTATGCAGTTTTGCTTGGAGTCCATTGATGTAATTCGGGGCAAAATGGGTTATCTAACAATGGCTTGGATTATTACGAAACTTGGGGCAAGAAAACCTGCTGTAGCAATTGAATATTTTAGTCTACATGCAGAACCTGAATGTGAACACTGAAACCTGGCTACGAAAAGGTAGATTTCAAGTGAAGGCGATTGATGGGATTCCAAGAACTTTTTGTGAAGTATAAATGAAAGCATTTTTAGGGCTTTTCAAACTCCAATCTTGGTTGGCTTGAAGCACATGCATAAGTTCATAGAAATCTGCGGATGGATTAAGCTGCCAGTCCTATATCAATGGACCCCTCCTTTGTAATTCAGGTGTTCAGCATGACAAATTGGAAATGCCGCGGGATTACGTGCTTGACGTTGGAAAGAATTTGCGAGACTTGCTTGGAGCTGTGGACGCTTTCGTAGATCAACTACAAGGGTCGACAGCAAAAGAGGTTCGTGCCACATCTCATTCTTAATTGAAGCTCTTGATGTAATTCATTCATGGTATGTTCGTAATTAATTTTTGTATTTTCTCCTTGTAGATCAAAATGGCTCAGACGCTTCTGGGTGAAGACATGAAGAAACTTGTGTCTGCTCTAACTCTGGTGGAAAAGTATGGTAACACTACTCTTGAACAGGAATATGTCAGGTGGGTTCAAATTCTTAGACAGTACTTAATATCCAATTCTTCGATTTTGCTGGCCGTTCAGATAAATTAACAAATGCACTATATTTAATGTATTTAATTTACATTACTATCTCCCACCATGAGCTGTTATTATTCAGCAATTTCGTACTGAGGCAACTATATTCACTAAGCACCTATTGAAACATCTTCCCTATTTGCATTTCTTAGGTGTTTGGTATTTTGTTTTCCTTTTTTTTAGATTTAAATGTGCATAATATTTTTTCAAAGATGCTTTCATTCTCTGAACAAATTCGAATCCCGCAATCGTAAACTGTAGAGTATTGTCTTTTTTTATATTTTCACCTTAAGTCCGTCTGTTTTGTCTGTAGGTCTCACTTGAATCATTAACAAAGCAGAAATAGCTAAACCAGAACTGACCGTGCCAAATTTTAGCTGATTCTTCGCGACGTGGCAATCGTAGGTCTAAAATTATTTAACCCAGTTTGACGTACACCGTAATTTGCTTAATGTACCTTTGAAAATAAAGGCGATGCCTATCTACGATATTTTTTATCGCGTTGGTAGTGACGTTGGAAAAAGAATTGGATGTACTGTTACTACTGTAAATATTTTTTCAATTAACGTACTTGAATTTTTACAGAAGTATGATATCTTCAGCGCACGTCCTTGCTGTGGATGTGAAAAATCTTCAAGACGCTGTGGACAACGAGAGGCTGAAAGTGAATGCGTCAGAATTTCCGAACGCACAAAAACAGGCGGAAGTGTCTGAAGCTACAGGAATCCGCCTGACCCGCAGTGCTCAGCCGTCTCCAACGTCCTCGCGCTCATCAACCGTCTCGAAACGTGATCGCGCAGGCTCAATCGCGTCATCGGTCGGTAGTGAGAAGGCCTGTGATTCCGTGGCGGACTTCGCCGAAGCATTCAGCAAAGAATTCGGGGAAATGTCCATCGCCAAGGGTTCTGACTACGATGCACCGCCTGGCACACCGCCGTTTCCCTCATGACGACGGTTCAAGTAACACTAAACGGATATGGGAAGGGATAAAATCTGGGTTTTTTTTCACAGGGTGGTAATCGGACTTTTTGTGCGGGTTTTCAGTCAGTGCTCCTATATTTTGTGACGAAAGGATGTTATTTTATTGCGGAGATGTAACGGAAAATTGTTCTTCCCTACGTATTGAGAACTCGCCTACAGTGTTCAAATGAGGCGAGCTATTTTCTTCTGTTGTGCACATCAAAGAATGTAGTCGTTGATGTTTTTTTTCCTTAAATTTGCTCACTTGAAATATGTAACACGTCGTATGGTGATATTATTCGAAGTGCTTAGATGTTGAGCTGCTGTCCCAATTTTTGGCTTGTATCTCTTTAGCGATCTTTCTGAATGTTGAGCTTTCCCAAGAGCAAAACCTGGGATTTTTAATGCATACAAAAACCAAAATCTAAATCAGGCAGCACTTTGTTCTGCTCTTTGAGGAAGGCGTTGCTCGAAGCCCTGCTTTTGTGGTGTTCAAACATTACCAAATGGCGAGTCGTGGAATTGTGAAGAGTGAGGTGTTGACTTTTATTTGACAACTTATTTGCGCGGAATAAAACAAGCCAATGTTAGTTTTTCCGCTTTGGTTTCATGTTGTTCTGTCTTCTGCCGTTCTCGTTGAAAAGCAATTCATGGTTTATTTTTCTTTTCAGACAATCCGTGCGAGGTTTTGTTCTGTGGCGGGTCTAGCGAAGGACTATTGTGGTGCGATGAGTGTGGACTTGGGTCCAGAACCAGGGTTGTTGGATGAGGTGTTGAAATATGGGCTTTACTTAGGAGCTATTTTCCAGCTAATCTGCATCGCAGCTGTCATTCTTGTACCCTTCAATTCGTCGCTCTCTGCTTATTCTCAAAAGGTACATTTTTTTTTTTGGCTGACCACTGTGTATCTTGCAGAGTAAAGCAACCTTTTGGTCTGGTATTATTCCTGTTACTCATTTATGTGCTGCTCTGTTTGAGATTTGCCTTGTCAGTTTGATCACATTTCGTTGTTTGTTATAATACAGGATTACGACTCTGGTGAAGACGAAGGATCTGATCAAGGCACCCCATCTTCTGGCCAAGGATTTCGAGGTTCTCACGCTCACCATCGTCGCAAGCAAGATCGCAAAAAGCGTCGCTAAAGAATGGATCCATCACAGTCCATCGCAGAACGCGCTTTGAAGCTCTCACAAGAATCGGACGTCTCCTTGCTGCCTGATCTCATCTCCTCGCTTTATTCCCTCATCTCTGATCGGTTCGAGTTCCCGGAACTCGAGTCATTCGCCATAAGAAATGCCATTTGGTCCAAGTGTTTCTCAGTGATGAGAGACGGATCCGAGAAGGACCGTGTAGCCGCTTTGGACCTCGTTCGGGTGCTGAGCCGGGACAAGGCTGATTTAGACGAGATAATCACCAAGCACCCTGATTACGTTCGCACTCTAACGTCTTATGCCGTGTTGGATAAGATCTCGGCCGTAAATCCCTCTGATATCCCGGTGGTCGAGGCCGCTTTAAAAGTCTTGGTAAATTTGTGCAAGCAAAGTCCGTTGGCGTTCGAATGCTTTGGCTCGGAGGATGTTGTGAAAGCAATCGTGGCTCGGCTGCGGTCCAGCGAACGCTCGCTTGTTCAAACGTTCGACATGAGGCTGCTGTTTATCATCACTGTTTTGGTTCCGAAAACGAGGCAATTGGTGAGAGGTGAGCTGGAGGGGCTGAATGTCTTGGAGAGAATGCTGGAGGATGTGGTGAAGGCGGGAGAGGAGTTGGGTGCCATGAATCCGGAAAAGGAGCCGCTTGGGTCGCTGGATATCTTCGCGAGCCCGAGGTGCATTGTGACGTCTGCGGATGCGGATTTGGTTTGCATCGCATTGCAGGTCTTGTACAATCTGACGCTCACGCCGGATCCTGTGGTGGAAGACCTTCAAGTCGTAGACAGGTTTGCATATTCTCATTTTCTATGTACCTTATCGTGTCGTGTGAAAGAGCGCGCTCCCGTAGGAGAAGACCCGCGGAAAATTAACCTTTACAAGATGAACCTGACCCATTTCAAAACACTGAAAAGATCGCTGCTCTTTTTGTTGCTCACTTTACTCAGGATTGACTTGGTGAAATTGCCGTTCAATTTTGATTCATGGGGTTGAATCACATTTCTGTCGGATACTTCCAGGTTGGTGGGACTCATTCGAAAGCTCCTGCTCTCCTCGCCTGAAACGGATCACAGCAAAAAGCTCTCACTCGTCACTCACGTCTCCAACTTGCTCTGCACTGTCCCACCTGCGTGTTTCCAGCGTTTGATCACCGTCGGCTGTTCCAATGGTGCCGCCGGGGATACCCAACTCGAATCAGACCCAGAAGCCATGAAACCCGTCGCCATTCTCCTCGCCCATCTCGACGCCCGTCTGGCCGACTCTGCCACTCCTGTCGACTCACTCGTCCCGATCCTCGTCGGTATGAGCCGCATGGGCAAAGCAAACAGTTTCATCAGGAAATACATGCGTAACAGCGTTTTACCGCGGTTGCGTCGCAGCGACGTGATGCGCAAGCCCGAAGAAGGCAATACTTTGCGGAACAGACTAGTGCGACTGCTGACTCATCCTAGCATCATGTTGAAAGAAGCCTCGGCCACATTTTTGTTCATGTTGTGCAAGGAAAATGCCGGGAGAATGGTCAAGTACTCTGGACTCGGAAACGCTGCGGGAATGCTGAGTTTGAGAGGCCTGATGGGCGGTGCGAGGTCGGTGGGTGCCGAAGACTACTCCCCGGACTCCTCTGACTCGGACACTGAAGAATACAAGGACGTGGTGGAGAGTATTAATCCGGTGACGGGTTGCTTCGAGCCGCCAAGGAGGAGTGCGACCGATGGCATGACGGATGAGCAGAAGGAAGTTGAGGCCATGCGGTTGATTGGTATGATTGATCGGTTGAATAGACAAGGGTATATTCAGCCGATGCGCGTCGGGGCTGATGGTCGCGTGCATCCCGTGGAGCACGTGTTGCAGTTGCAGGAGGGAATTGATCCGAGGTCTGAGAATGGTTGCGAGAGTTCTGATGAAGAGTAGGAAAAACCGGGCTTTTGCTTCCATAAGCTTGACATTCATCTGAGCCAACAAGGGTATTTTCAAAAGTTCTCGGCGTTATGAACAAAATGAATCTGCTGGACCCTCCGTATTTCAACAGTGGTGCCTCGGTTAATGGACGGTTGAGGGAAAAAATCCCTTGACAGAAATTTAAAGCTGCATGAAAAAACTTGACCCGTTCAAAATTTCTTGAAGATATTCAAGAAATTTTGAAAGCGACTGAAAAAATGATAAGTAAGTGCATGGCTAGAAACACACTGAAGAAATGACAAAATACTGTACCCGAAAAAGGCAACACAAAACTCAACACAATTCATCAACAAAGCTTTTATCCGCATGAAAATTCGAAGTGGCAGTCACATTTCCCGAGGAAACTTCAATAGTTTACTATGGACGAGTACTTTTTTGAGTCCATTATCGCGAGTGTGTTCCCTATCTGAAACAAAATTTGGTAGTAGTCAGCATTCTTTGTCCAAAAATTCATCATTAGGGTTGTCCATTATCCGAGGCACCACTATACAGTAATTTGAAATCGAAGTTCCATCGTACCGCGCAGGCAATTTCATCATTTTGAACCTAATCTTCTTTCATTCAATTTCTCAGTACAGTATTTCAAGCGCTAAAAGCATGACAGAAATATCCGGTGTACTACTACCTATTGCCCTGTTTTTTTTTTTTATTGACCTACTCTGAGGACTTTTGAAAATTCTATTTTATTAAGCCGATTTGAAGCCTAGGCAGTTTTATGAATCCGTGATAGGCAAGATTGGCATTGCATTGGATTTATAAATAATGGTGATTAAATATGTCGGCCTGTTTGACCAGAAGTCGTGCTGTGAATCATGTCTTAATATTGTCGAATTTAAAGTTGCATTGATCTGGAAATTTCCAGAAGTACAGTATTTACTGTCCGTTGGATAGATAAAATATTCGCGTCCCCCTCTCTTGTTGAAGGTTTTTTCTAACCTTAATTTGTCAATCTTCGAGAGATTGAGTACCGAACAAAATACGATTTCTACTACTCAATGACCGTCCCTGAAAATATACGATTTCAAATATTTGTATGATTCTTCGCAAGCATGTTCAGTATATTCCGGCATTAAAGAAGCATATGATATATCCCTTAAGAAGGCTGGAGAAACCATTTTGAACAGATGAGCGTATGTGATCCATAGGATTGCTTTGAATCTAATGGTTAATCTAGCGAGGCTTTTCTGGCTATGAATGTAAATTACGGCTTTCATTTTCGGTTGCCTTTGGCATTAATTTTTGAACATCCCGTCTTTCATTTCATTTCGTGAGTGGGAACAAAACTACTGTACTTGAAAACATTCNCAATCTTCGAGAGATTGAGTACCGAACAAAATACGATTTCTACTACTCAATGACCGTCCCTGAAAATATACGATTTCAAATATTTGTATGATTCTTCGCAAGCATGTTCAGTATATTCCGGCATTAAAGAAGCATATGATATATCCCTTAAGAAGGCTGGAGAAGCCATTTTGAACAGATGAGCGTATGTGATCCATAGGATTGCTTTGAATCTAATGGTTAATCTAGCGAGGCTTTTCTGGCTATGAATGTAAATTACGGCTTTCATTTTCGGTTGCCTTCGGCATTAATTTTTGAACATCCCGTCTTTCATTTCATTTCGTGAGTGGGAACAAAACTACTGTACTTGAAAACATTCTTCATGTTTCTGAGTTTCATGGATGATTATTCTTGCATCTGCGTAAATCTGTCCGTGTGTGAAAATAAGGAACTTATTTTCAAGTTGCTCGTCAATCTCGGTAGCTTCATTTGTTTCCACTGTCTGGGTTAGTTCTGGTTTTTTTTAATATAATTCTGTTGAAAAAAAATATTACGGAAGATTTCGAAAAATGAAAGAAGCGAAGAATCGTTCGGGGTTATTTACTCACGCCCCGATGAAAATACTTCGATGTCTCGTGTGAATGTCCGCGCGATCCGATCGAGAAGGGAATTTTGGTCCAGCTCAGTCACCCCTGTACGCATTGAACATTTTATGTATCATTCCAAAAAAATGTGCATGAAAAGTTGGAGGCAGCCTCCTTCTTTTGAGAGTATTGTGCATTTGCGAATTTTACAGCGGTCTTGTTTCTTCTATAACGCTTTGCGTCGTGTTCAGTATTGCAAAAAAAAAGCTTTCGTCGCGTTGAGGAAAAAAGAACGTTAGAAGTCCATCCAATTTCTTACAGTCACTTCGAAATGAAAGCTTGCCGACGTCTATGAGAAGTTGATCGTTCGAATCTGTGTTCCATCATCCGATCTGGTTTTCCCGACCTTGTTTTTCTNCGTCGTGTTCAGTATTGCAAAAAAAAAGCTTTCGTCGCGTTGAGGAAAAAAGAACGTTAGAAGTCCATCCAATTTCTTACAGTCACTTCGAAATGAAAGCTTGCCGACGTCTATGAGAAGTTGATCGTTCGAATCTGTGTTCCATCATCCGATCTGGTTTTCCCGACCTTGTTTTTCTTGATTTTTTCTCAGATGAACGGAAGCTAGATAAAAGAAATGTTATGAACGTTCCAGTTGGCAACGATTCCTGATGCAGAGGTTGGTTCAAAAGTTCTGCCTGTGCAATTGGATTACCTTAGAATAAATTGACGAGGATTTAGAAAAAATATTCATCCACCCTATTTCTTCACGTCATCTTGTCAGCCACCTCCGCTTCAATATGTTTCAATGCCATGTTCATTGACAATATACTTTCAATCCGGTAAAAATTGCTGTAATGGCTACGAAAATACCGTGTACAATAAGAAGGCACGTTCTGTCAAAGATTTGCAACTTTGGGTTTTCAAGGAAGAATTTGATATCACTGCATTGAAATTACTTAGATCGCGGAAATGTCCATTTGAGGAGCTGAAAAACAGGCGAAACTTTTGAACCAACCCTTGTAGTGTTCTCAGTGGATTGCGTGTCGAGTGATTTTATTGGCATCCACAGGTTCGATTGAGAATATGATCCTGGCGAAAATCCCAGAAGTGGGCGTTCGGATCGTAGTGAAAGAAATTCACTTCGGCACAGTGAAATACGTCGGTCCTGTTTGTGCCGATGCTTCTAACGCAACCTGGCTTGGCGTCGAATGGGATGACCCAACCCGCGGCAAGCACGACGGATCCATCGGAGGCCAGCGTTACTTCCAAACTTCATCCCCGAAATCCGGAAGTTTCATCAAACCCCATCCATCCATCAAGCTCGGAATCGATGTCACCGAAGCATTGGAGGAGAAATACTGCGGTAGCGAAACTAATCCCGGAGAAGCCGAACTAGTGGAAGTGAGCACGGCATTGCACGCATCGCTATACGAAACCGTGGGATTTGAAAAGATCAATGCGAAGCAAAAGGCCTTGAAGCAAGTTTCTGTGATCGAACTGGTGAATTGCCGCGTTGGCCACGGGAAACTTTCCGGGGATAAACTCCCTGTCGCCAAAGTGCTCAATCTTTCGCATAATCTCATATCATCTTGGAAAATACTCCGTGGGATCGTTGCTGACTTGACTAAGCTTCGCGTCCTCGACTTGCGGGGAAATCGTTTGACGTGGGAACCAGGTGTCGTTTTCCCGCTGGTTCAAGAACTCGATGTATGCAACTGTAATCTAACCTGGACCGATTTTCTCAGAATCGGGGAGATGTTCCCGGATCTTCGCGAACTCGGTTGCGACGATAATCGAGTGTCTCCTGATCCCCGTGAGAGTGAAATTCTGAAGAGATCGTTCCCGAAATTAGAAATGGCCTCGTTGTCGCTGAACCCAATCTCGAAAGCGGAACATTTCAAAGTCTTGGGGTCGCTACCAAAGTTAACCTCATTGCGTGTTATGAACGTTGGTCTAACATCCGTGAAACTTGACGAAGACTCGTTCCCGTGTTTGGAAAGCTTGAATATATCCGATAATCCGATTGACTCTTGGGAAAGTGTTGATGAACTCGGAAAGGTGCGAAGTTTGAAAAGCCTGAGACTGCGATTGTGTCCGGTGTTAACACAAGAATCGGATGGTACTCTGTCTCATTTATCGACTTGCTCTATTCTGGCGAGAGTTCTTCAGCTCACGAAGCTCAACGGTACAGTTTACCCTGCGCAAGAGAGGCACTACGCTGAGTGGGACTACTTGAGGTTGAACGCTCATGCGTATTACGCATCTCTGGAGAGTTCATCGTCGAAAGATAAATTCCAGCGAGAACATCCAACTTTTGGGAAACTGATTCAAAAGCACGGCGAGCCACCAAACGTGGCGCGGGAGAAAACCAGCGCCTTGAGTGATCGTTTAATGGAACTTACGATTGTGACACCAGATCGAGGATTAGATAATCCAATTAAGCGCAAACTGCCGTCTGATATGGCGATCGGGAAGCTAAAAAGTTCATTGGCGAGGATTTGTGGAAAGCAAGCTGGGCATGTTTCTTTGCTGGTGTGTCCGGAAGGGGCGAACGTGAGAGATTATTTGAAGGAGCACAACAGTGAGGCTCTTTTGGAGAATCGTGCGTTGAATTTTTATTTGAATCCCGGCGATGTGGTCGTTCTCAGGTGGTCTTGAGAATATCCTGCATTTTATTTTATTTTGCATTTTTGATCTGATTTTTGTTTGGTCTGTGTGATAATATTGTGATACCAGTCGCACGGTTGATTTTAATTATTCCGGTTTTGAACAATGAATTTCCATGCGAAGTATTTCGGGTGTACGTGCGAACCCGCGTTCAATTCCGTCAGAAAGAACTGTGTTGAAGCCTATCTTCTTTGCGAGTCGTGACATAATTTTAAAAATCGGAAATTTCGCCGGAACAAAATTTCGTTGAATTTGTTCGTGGGTTTTGCGAAGTTTGTTTTGACGGAATTTGACCTGTGTATGTTCGATCGCCTCTGTTTTTTTTTTTTTTTTTTTTAAATAAAAGTTCATCGGAGGTTAGTCGGATATTTTGTTGCTCTCGTCCTTGATATGTAAACCCATAATGTATCTGTCAGGCTACTCTGGAGATCAAATAAGGAACGTTCTGAGACACTAGCTATAAGGCACTTACTTCAACACCAAGTGGACATCAAACCAGGGGAAATTGAAGCTGTAAAGAAAGGAAGTGAGCTTTGCGGTGATGTACAGTCACGCGCTTCTAATTGTTTCTCTTTTTATTTTCTCCATTGCAGCCTGAGGGGTCGAAAATAGTCTGGTTTACTCAAGGAAGAATGGGGAATTTTTCCGCGTAGTTGCCTCCAATGATACGGCGTTTATTTTTAATTCAAGGGCTCTATTCCTGTTACAATTTTTGAAAGGTTATACAGAACTATTTTCCATCTTCGTGCTGTTTTCTGATGATCTGTACAAAAACTACACGAAGGTGGCGGAAATGAGTTCTTGTTTTTTCTATCCTGGCGTCGTTGTTATTGAAAGGCGTGTAAGTGGAGAAAATTTCCTAGATCTCGCCAAGGCATTGGTCCCCTGTACTGAAAACTAACGTCAGTGTGGATAGCTACTCAAGCGAATTAAAAAATATAATCTTATCCCGGATGTCCCAATGAGTGAAAATGTTCTTCGTTCGTAGAGCTTATTCGGTTTATCCGTCCAAATCGCACAACTGTGGCCGGGACGGGGTCGTGGTGATTGACGAGGGCTCGCGTCGTGTCTTGTCGTGACAAGACCATGGCACAGATCGAGCTTCTCAAGGCTGACGATGTACCCGAGGAACATCGCGAACCCTGGATCCTCTCCGGCTACAGACAATGTCCATCAAGTCTTCGGTCCTGTCTCCTGAGCCTCTTCACAACGTGCAACGAAACCGCCAACTTTTGGACGCACTTTCTTCCGGGCGTGTTCTTCTTGTACAAGACCATGGCTGCTTTGCGAACCAGCGAAGAGCCGGGCCAATTGGCGTACGTGTGCTTTCTCAGCTCTTTGGCCGTGTTCTTGTTGACTTCGAGCTTTGCCCACGCGCTGTGGCCAATCGGGAAGCAGACCCGAGATGCGTGTTTTTTTCTGGACTACGCAGCGATGAATTTGTACATGTTTGGCTCGGCGGCTGGGATCTACGTGTTTTTCTTCTCGCCGAATTTCTATATGACGACGATCGGGAAGGTGTACGTGACCCTGGCTGGGTTTCTGTGTCCCGCGAGCACTCTGGTCTCTTGCCTGTCGCGGTTCGCCAAGGGACATAATGTAAGTACATCACGGAATTCATCTCTTTCTTTTTAAATTCGTGGCAAAAGAAGTTACACCGAGCAAGAATCCTCGGAGAGGAGGCTTCGTAAAATTTGATCCTCATTAGGAAAAATGCAAGATGATTCACGTGATCACTAGATCCCGGAGACGTGTTAATGGTGGTAATTTATGAACGTTTAATCATGATGTCTGTGTTGAAAGACTGCAGAACAACGTAAGATGAGAATAATGCTGGCAATCTCCGGATGAAGGGCGATGAATAAACACCTTTTCGGGACCAGAATCCTGACTCGGATATTGTCAGTCAAAATCGAGGAGATTAGCAAGAAATCGGGCATCTCCTGGAACACGAGTTTTGCCACTCTTTTGTCTTATTATTGAATAAATCACCGCGGTATTTTTGCTGAAACGGCAGCCTTGAACTTAAATGCAGATGCCTGGATTTTCCGCTGTTCGTGTTACTCGAATTTCATGATTATACGGCGATCTCTACCCAATACGGTGGGACGAATCCTCCTTTTGCCTCGATTGACACACGCAACGAACCGCTTCCCGTTCAATTTCTTTTGATGAAAAAATGGAAATTTTATTCCTTTTAATAAACTGAACCGGTTAGCTTGCTACCAAAGAATGTGTTCAAATTTGTTGCACACATGAAGGGTCAATTGTGGGTATCGCATTTCGCTATTCTCAAACTTCTGGTTCTTCCTTTACATCCCACGGTTAAACTGTTCGAAGCTAAGTGATCTTTCATTAATTCATGAATTGTTTTCAGAATACGTCTACCTTTGCTTATGCATGGTTGATAAGATCATCATGTAGTTACATCATATTTCTACACTAAAGACGATATCTCCGGAAACTTTTGAATGTTATCTGTACTGAGCCATATTTATCGTTTCGCCCAGTTCATATTCTATCATTCTTTCTGATTTGTGTCTGGTTTACTTCTGCAGTTACGTAAAATAACGAAACTCGGGGCATTCGCGATGCTTTATTCGTGGACGACATTACCTCTGCTCTATGATCTGACAATGCACGGAAGATTTTCCGAGTTGGCGAATGAAGTCATGCATATCTTCATTCTGTGCCTTGGAGTCGGGATTTACGCACTACATTGGCCGGAGTGCTGGTTTCCCGGATTGTGAGTATGACTCCGGGAATAATATCTCATTAAAAATAATTAGTGGGAAGTTGACGCATGTTTGCATGTCAAACGGTGGACAACTGAGTGTAAGTCCATAGAATGTCTTATTGTGCTTTCGAAAACGTTTTTATTGGAATTCGATTTGCGAAAGATTATATTTTATTCGTCTACCGTTTTTACTCAAATATCTCAGGCACCTTCATTTTTTGGGCGAAAATTTGGAAAAATGAATCTCTGTGTCAGGCGCGAACCCCGGTGTTTTGTGACCCAGCAATATTTATATTTTCGGAAATACGAGCTAAAATGAGAAATTTGGACTGATAAAGTTTGAATTCGATTGTGTTGCATTTGTTTGTTTTTCTTCTAAATTTGCATCTGCCAGTTTGATTTGAGCCTGAATATGTATTTTAACTGATTTTTGTCCCTGGAAAAGTATTTCTTTGAACTTCACTGAAAATGTTCCCGTGAGTATGACGCACGCCCAACTTGAGGCTTTCCCAAATTTTTAGGAAAAAACGGGCAGGGGGTTCTCGATCGAATGTGGAATTATATTCCTATGTGAGCTTTTGATCACAGTACATTATTTTCTCCTTGTTTCAGGTTCGACTTCCTTGGACATTCGCACAACTGGCTCCATTGCCTCGGCGCTCTCGCCGTTCATTGTCAGTATCTCGGCCTGAGTGCTCGTAAACAAGCGCATGGTCCTTCATTACCCGGAGGTCCTGAACGAGTAACTGCGTACTGTAATGGTCTCTTAAGAGTCTTCACCGGTGTCTTGATCGCCAACGTCGGCATTATCTGCGGCTGCGTGATGCTTAAAAGCCGGCTTAGTCACGCGAAACTCGCGTAGCATTTATTTATGTGTTCAATGTGGGGAAAGTATATCGACTAATGCATATTGAGTGTTGTGATACCTCGGAGCGACAATCGTGTTTGTTGTAGGGCTTTAATACGTGAGAATCAAAGCTTTTTTATTCGTGAATTCTGGAGGCCAAAACAAAAGACCGCATTCCTGTGTGACCTGTCTTTTCATCTTCCAATTTTCTTGAGGGGGAAAGTTCATTCAGTGAAATCTTGTTGTAATCAAGGGGAAACTTAGTCAATTGTTGCAGTGAGGATGAATACTGTAAAATAATTTTTCACCATCGGAAGATACACATTCATTGAATTGCAATTATGTTGGATATCTCTCAACCGATGTTGCACGTTTAAAAAAAGAATGTGTCGTGGCTGTACATGCAAGACATTTGAATATCAAAGGGAAGAATGGTTTTCCAATTTTTGGGAATTGGTTACAATTTAGTTACTGGGAAGATCTCGAAAATTATCGTGATTATTCAAGATTTCACTGTGTGGCATCAACGCCTCGGGAATGGTGAATAGCATAATACTGTAGTTCGAAGGCTTCTACAATCGCCGATTTTCGAAATGTATTCTGTAAAATTTGATTCAACTCATGTGAATTTTTCTGCAGGATGAATTCTGCCGAAAGAGAAAGAAGCTTTTCCCGTCGCAGTGGCCGCGGAAAAGTTTCCTATTGTCAAATGAACGATGACTTCGCTACGGTCGCATTTATTTTCGAATGTGGAACAAAGTTGGATATGGATATGACGACCATCTGTTTGGCGGCCAGTTATTTTCATCGTTTCTCAGCTGTTGCCGAGGTAAGATCCCGCTCGAAAAGCTTTTTGGCAATCGAATAAATTTACTGGAATTCGAGTGCTGCAGATAATTCGGTGTTCATTTTCCTGCGGTTGATGAAATTATGCATTCGTGGGAAAATGGCTGGGATAATTGAATGTTTATTTTAGTAGAGTTCGAGTGATAATTTGGCCTTCATTTGAAAACGTAATCCGGAAATTCAGGAATTCGGCTTGCGAAATTTAAAAGTTAACATTTTATTCCTCTACTCCGGCGTTTTTAGATGTGAGGAGAGTGTCGTTTAGACATTAGGGATTGCTAACCTGAATAAAATATCCTCAACTGAAGCCCATCCAAACTAATGTGAATTTACGCATCCTGATGTGACCTAGTATTCCTACCCCTTGGTCAAAATTGAAGGTCGAAAAATCAAAAATCCGGGAGACGCCTGAAAGAAATCGGGGAGTACCGAATGCTAACTTCAAATTAAGCTTCAGCACATGTATTATGCATTCCCAAGCTTCTTAGGGAAAAACTAGTGCAGTACAGTATAGTACGGTATACAGTATATAATTTGGGACGATTAAAAAAATTTATATATTTGGTCAAAATCTGAAGATGACGGGTTCTAGCGATACGTAATCGTGATTTTGATTGCTTTGCAAGTCAGCGAACAATTGTATGCCGGAATTGAAAAAAGTTCTCATCGCCTTTTTGCCGAAATGAATATGTTCGAAGTAAAAAATAAAGGAAGTTCAGCTCGACCGTGAGCATTTCGTTGAAAAACAGCTGATTCTCTTATCTGACGAGCGTGATTTTGACAGCCTAGGAAGATGGATTTTCTTGATCAACCGCCGTTTTCCCGTGCGAACGTATCCTACCAAGGTCCTATCTTGCCCTTTCGCGTACACGAACTCCCGATTTTCTTTTCATTTATTACCCTGTATCACTATTTGAACGAAAATTCCCTTCGTCCAGATGAGCGAGTACGATCAGTATATGATCGCTGCCACGTGCTTGTACCTTGCTGCGAAGATGGAGGAGAAGGCGGTCGCCGCTCGAGATCTCATTAATGTCGTCCAGAATACGTTGCACCCGGATAAAGAAGTTCTTCCTTTGGACGAAGTATTCAGCGCCTGTGAGAAGTCCTTGGCTCACCTGGAGTTGCACATTTGTCGAATGCTCAAATTCGAAATGGTGGTTGATACTCCACATAAGGTGAAGCCTGATTACCGCGTTATTGTTTTTGTTTACAAGTTTTCACTATATTTAAGCGAACTAGAAACAAACGCATCACGTTTATAATTTTGACTCTTAGAGTAAGGCGGCGTTTTATTGTGAACGCCGTCTTATATTCGCGTGCAAATCGCTAGGTTTTGATGAGGTTCGAAAGTGTGCATTCCTGTGTATGAGTAATATAAATTAAAAATCGATTAATCGTATTGCTATTGAACTTGCAGCTTTTTCTTGCTGAGAAAGCTAATTTAAACAAAATTCAGATAACTCAGCGCTTATTAGAAAAAGCATCTGATTGGTTTCTTTATGTAATTGAAGAGGTATTCGTAAGATTGCTTTTATTGAACGATCTATTTCATAGATAAGGTACAGTCGTTGAAAATTGAAGTGAGCTCAGAATTTGTTTTATGGGAGATAATCTCAATGAAGCCCTGTTTGCTCCACCCTGAACAGAATTGAGGCTCTAGTACTCGTAGTGAAGCAAGTTTCTGAATGTCTTAAATTTTCCAAGATTTTTTATAATTTTTTTATAACGCCCGTGGGGTTGAGAAAGTAAGTTTCTCTTGGCATTTGAATGAACACGATAACTTCTTGTTGATGCCATTCCAAGTGGCCAAGACCCAAAACTGCGATGTGCGTCGCCGATCATGTTTGTTCAACTTTCTGAATTCTTCTTTTTTTTTTTTTAGTTTCTTCTGCATTATCTGCATGACATGGACAACTGGATAGGAAGCCAGTTGTGGAACGATTTGCCCATTCCGGAAATGTGTTGGACGCTGTTGCAAGATTTCTTCTTTTCGTCAAACGTCTTGAAGTACTCGCCACAACATGTTGCGATTGCAATAATTTATTTTTCCCTGCAAGTTTACGGCCGGGAATTGCCCGAAGACCATGGTTCTCAGTGGATGAAAGTTTTGTGTCCTACTGTAGAACTCGAGAAAGTCTGGACTATTATTGACGATCTGCAGAGTGTTTTCGAAAAAGAGGCGGCGCTGTTCCCATCGATTGCGGACTAATAAACGCTATTCCTTTCGTTCTCATTTTTTATATTTCGAAGTTGTTTTCTTTCTCGTTTGGTGTGTTGAAAATAAATTGATATACAGTATTTTTTCTGCTGTATTTCAGTTTAAAGTGGCTCGCCGAGTCGTGGACCCTGCGAAGCACCATCATTACCGTATCTTTTGTCCCTGAATTGAATGACGAAGAAGGTCTGTGTACATGAGTTGGAGTTGAAAATGAGTTTTGTGAATAGAGATAGACCCTGCTTGGGCCAGGGTCTGTCGTCGTATGCAGTAAACTTGAATTATCCGTGATTTATATTACCTGTAATATTTTCCATAATTTGGCTAAATTGGGCAATAGCAATGGAGATTGTATAATTTTAGTACTCGGTATTCATGCCTATTCAAGTCAAATAATTTGTAATTTGGAACGACCTGGCGTCATGTACTTTGATATTTTCGGGATTTTGGTAATCTTTTATTGTTTATCATGATGAAAAAAATTATTCTTTGGGATATAGTTTTTTTTCCTGCTGTTGGATTTTGATAAAACTTTTCGAGGAAGCGTGCCACTCCCTAATTACTGTAATTGTTTAGGGTAAAATTGTGCCGAATGATGAAATAAATAGATGAGAACAGTCATCCCCTCTTTTTATTCTTAGTGTTTGAATCATCCTTAGTCTGTATTCTAGATAAGGAAAAAATAAATTTCTTGAAAAATGCTTGCCATCATTCAGGCATGATAATAAAACTAGGATGTTTTAAATCAGTATAGAGGGAAAAGTTAATTTAGTCTTCATTTGAAGGGCTGACTCATCAGTTTAAACTTCCGCAGGAATGGCGATGAAGGAACAGTTTCTGAGTGAACTGGATGAACTTCGCTGAGTTAAGTCAAAAACCTGTCCAATCTGAAATTCGAGGTAATCTTCGGCCAGTTCCTTAGAGTTTAATTGGATGTAAACCCCGTAAGACAATACTATACAGTAAAGTACTTTGAGGCAGCTTTCTCTTGAAGTTAATTGTGGAGTTTCAATTTTTTTTTTGAGCGGGGGTATCAACTTGAGATTCAGAAAAATGAGTGGTTGGGAGTATTATAGAAATAAACGTATCTAGATAAACTGGAAAATGTTAAGAATAGAACGAAAATTATGCACCATTGCATTACAAAGAAGAGGCTGTAAAGGTAGATGCAGTAAGGCATTTCTAATCGCTTGTGGAAGAACTGTGACCTACACGCTGCGTCAAGCCAAGAAGAATGAGGTGCCACGATTCTCGTCGGGGTGGACTCTGGTCGGAAGGGGGAGGGGATTGTTGCGCGCGGCGGCTTTAATGATCTGCGGATTGTTTCGCATATCGAGCGCAATGTGGTGTATGTGTTTTCCGTTATGAAGTGTTGATTGTGAATTATGTCTTCGAATGAGAGCCAATCGGAAGCTTAGCCTTTGAAGGTGTACGAATCAATCTTGATGATGGATTATTCTGTCAAAGTCGACGTGCCGGAGGATGACGGGGAGAAAGAACGGATTCTCCGACGACTTTGGTAAGATCAAACTTCTTTCGTTTCAGTGTAATGTGTCCTGATGAGAATGATTCGTTTTTCGCAGGCTTGAACGCGAAGCAGCCGTTCGAGTCATTCTACGTGAACTAATAAGCGTGTGCCACGAGTTCGGTGTATCTCCGTCGGGGGTGCTGAAGAAGACTCTCCAGTCCCCATTTTGTTTCCGGAAAGGAAGCAAGCGCAGGAGTTGGCAAGATTTCCAATCCGAATTGCTGCGGTTGGTTGTACAGCTGCGAGAAACCTTGTGTTATCGTATGGACCCCTCTTGGGATCCTTTGCTAGCAATGCTCAAAGAACCGAAGTTATTTTGGGCAGTATGGCGGGCAAGTTTTGATTAATCTATGTCCGTGATTTGTTTTACTGATTCCTTCTTCTTTATTTCAGTTGCGGAATACATCATTGGAAAACCAGAATCTCGTTTGTACCGTAACCAATATTCTCGAAGATATGTCCGCGTTGCTTTCACGACATTTCCAAAGATTGCGAGATACCGCTAAAGGAGAAGATGATTTCAGTAAAGGCTTATGTCTTTTAAAATCTGATGTATCCGATTTGGTTTTGGCTGGGTTCCGTTTTGACAAACTCGTGAGTTTGTATTCTGGCGAAACTGAACACCTCAGCCTACGAGAGCGGGCCCTGATTTATGAGCTTCCGGAAGGCCTGAAAAATGGTGTTTTTAATGAAATCTCAGATACTGGAATGAGTGTTGAATGGAAGTCCATTTTGTCAGCGTATTTGGAACGCCAGAAGCGTCCGCAGTTGGAAGGTGAGATAAGTTTTCATTTTCTTCGGTTTTTCCACCAGAAACCGCTCATCGATATACTTCTGTACTTTCAATTTATGGGTATTTTCAAACAGATGGTTGGGTCTATCGAAAAGTTTCTCACGCGTTTACCCTCTTTGTTCAATACTGTAGTCTACAGTTAGCAAAGTAGATTTCTCGTTGTTTCAAGACAATCAAAGCTATTTTACAATAAAATTTCTGTCTTGGTGATGGAAAATTATGTATACCCCATTTTAAACGGAAAGTGGCAGACTCAATCCGCTATCAGAGTGCAGCAGGACTATGGGCTTCCTCTAATCTTCAACACTTCCTGTGTTCGGGATGTTGAAAATGCTTACAACAATTTGTCTTTCAATGCAAGGAGTCTTGCTATTGTGTCAGTCAACGGTAACCAATTTGGGGATGGATGCCATATTAATGCACTCCGTTAAATTCGCCTATTACGATAGAATTGCGAATAAAATCAGTCCAACATTTTCTCTTCGCAACAGTGCCTGCTTTATAGCTTCGATTGCTTTTTTATTTTCAGATCCGGCTTTGAATTTGGAATCCAGTTTAGTGCTCACGTTTGAAGAACGTTCAAGACACGCGAAGCTGGAATGTTACGATGGTGGTAATCTGCCACAACAAGCGAATAGTGATGAATCATGCAGTGATGTTTCTGCCAAAGAGATGGAAAGCTTCTTACAGGGTCGGAAAGATGCCCTTCAAGGAGGCTTTCATTATTACGCGGGTGGGTTTAGGTATCTTCCTGAAGCTCTGGTTGTTATGAGACCTGAACCCGTTGCCGAACCTGAGCCAAACATTTGTAAGAAGCGTCCTCCGGTTTCCAAGAAACGAAAGAGCCATGTGCTGAAGTAATAACGAAATGAAAGATATTTTTAAATTGCTTTTTCAAGTGTTTGTATAAAAAATGCAGCGTATAAATGACGTGCGTCCATTTCTTTTGAAGTTCACTTTCCAGGGAGCTACGTAGTTGAACGTATCATTTTTGGCAGAAAAGAAAATGATGTATTCAACATGTATTCAAAGGAATATCTTCCATTTGTGTACTTCTTCTTCTTGGGCCTCTGTGTACGTTAGAATTTCGGCCATGCAATGAAGCGCTGAAATCTCCGAGAATACATTTTTGTTAGCGAGAATTTAATAAGAAATAATTTTTACTGTTCAGAATGAACAGATGATGCGATTGTTGGATGCAAATGGTGCTTCCTGTAGTAACCTGGCGAGTGAACTTCCGTACCAGGAAATCTCAATTTTTTCATTGTTTAGCGTTGATCTGATATTCTGACATGAATTTTTCCTCTTTGCAGCCTTCGATTGGTCAAGTTTCAAACGTGATCTTGATTATTTTAGGCGCGATTTAAAGTTTTTGAATTGTTTCGCGATTTATTTTTGTGTTCACGTTTGATACTGGAACTGTAAGTGTGAATTCAAACCTTGAGAACGATGTCATGATTCGCCGAAGGCGGGTTTCGCCGCCGGGCACGAGAGATTGGTTCGATTTTCTCATGGAACCCGAAGTTGGTTGGTTGTGGAAAAATTTATTTGCGTGAGTGCAGAAAGGAAAGTTCATCACGTGTTCAATATTTTATGCTTCTGATCAACTTCTAGAGGTTCATTGTTATGTGAAATTTTTTTAGCACAAATTGATCCGCTTTCCCTTGGGTCGGTGAATACAGTACTGTACTTCTTGGGATTTGTATAGTCTGCTTTTTGGTTACACCTCTTGGGTACACAAGGAGGTAAAAGGTGCTTTCATGTGGATGGTGAAATTATATCCGAGTCGTCAAAGGACTCAAAATATTCCGAAACAGGAGCTACTGTATATTGAAAAACCATGCTTTTACTCAACTTCGGAGTCTCAATTTTCATTGTTTATTAAACATTATTTCGATTTGAATTATCAATGAGCTGTCGGCTGGAAGGCTTTTTTTTCGTATTTTATGAGTTATTTTGAAGTTGATGGATAGTTGTCGGCTTTCATTATTTCTTCCAGCGTTTCTTTTAGTGATCACCCGCAGACAGTAATCTAATGTTCCTTAGCGAAACTATTAATCAGGGTTTACGCTAGTCAATCTCAAAAATTTGAAAAATATACTACTGTGTTTTTATTAACGTTGGTTAAATTAGGATGGTTCTTATGCTGATATTATGTCATCAACTTTTTTGCACCTGTTTTTTGTATTGCTGTTGGTCTTCTGCGAATTGAGGAATTCTCACGCGTGTACGCTGCTTTATTCTTTTTTTTTTTAATTCTCCCTGCACTGGTGTGTGACTTGAAAATTTCATTCCACGTTTGAAGTGCTAGTGATTCAGTTTCGCGGGGGATGGCGGGTGGGTGACATGAAGAAATCTGGACGCGGTGGTGTGACTGCACGAGTTTCGAAACTCTGGGTGTCTTACAGACAGAAGCGGATCGTTATCTATACTTCGATTGCCATCTTGGCCCTTTGGCTGCTCGGTCCTGCGTTCTTGCGATGGGTAATCCACAAGAAACGTTTTCACAGAGGTCAGTACTTGCCGTTTTTCGATAGTCATGCAATGCATTTGAGATATTTGTGACAGCGTAATTATTTTACCGATTCTAAATTGGCCTTGACTTCGCGCATCAAAGCCCTGTATTTTTGGTGCTAAGATTTTTCATGTTATTCTCAAACTTTTCCGCTCAGGCGACCACCAGGAATTCTGCGTCATTTTATGATAGCCTCGTGTGACTGACCGAACCTGGAAAGTTGTACAATATTTTGTATAAATTTTCATGAAGAATTTCTATAGAACGTTTCTGTCTGATGTTTAATATCGCGAACATGCAAGAACTAAGAATGCCGAGCAGCTCAAATTTAGCTGAAACCCGGATTCACCGTCGACATACTGTACATCTGTTTTTTGCCAAACCAATCGTCCCGAATTCTCGGGTACTGAACTGCAATTTAAATTTATGAAACCCATTATTGAAATTACACGTCATGTACCGTATTTTGATGGCTTTCCTTGAAGATTATATCATACTACAAGAGACCTCTGAAAATCTTGATAGAAATTATATCAAGATTATATCCCATTTTTGAAAAGTGGTTATCTTTCAATTTCGTGTAAAAAACCTTGATTACCCATTTTCATGGTCGACTTTAGCATTATAATTTTGGTACTGCTGTACAATTTTTTCTGATCTAAGCTATTTTCTGGTCTTAATCTTCCTTCGTGCGAAAAAACCCCAGATCCTTTGTCGATGTGCGAAGAAGAATGGGTTCGGCAAGTGCGTTCGGAGGTCGATAAGTACGATGCTGTGATCTCACGAACTCGTTTTGGACCGAATGGCCCGTATGCACTCGAAGGGTCATCAGCACAGTTCCCCGGATCTGCCATGTTACCGAGAACCCTTCTTATCTCGGAAGCAACTCGGTGAGGAATATTTTGAAAAAGTCACTTTTCCATCTTATCATCTACAGTTGGCTGAAAGCTCGCTTGAGACATTTTCCTGTGACCGAGATCATGTTGATGCCCTGTATTAATCAAGGGTTTAGGAATAAATTTTATTTTATTTTAATTAATTGTTAGAAATTTAAAATTTTAGATGCGAATGAATGCTTCTTCTTGTCGGTGCTTTAAAAAAGCCGCATTACTTATTGAGCAACCGCGAACTACTGTATAACCCAACTTCTCATGTGCGTAGAGCTTGATAACATTCATTTTCGGATAAATAGAGAACCTTGAAAAACATCTTTTGACTATTTTTTCTCCCCCTACCCGTTTTTTTTTTCTTGTCAGGTATATTTTGCCGTACGTGGGGAACGGTTACATCGGACTCGAAGTGAATGAGGAGGGTCTCATTTATGTGAAATCAGGAAGATATCTGGGAGCTGCAGTTCCATTCAAGCCTGTTGTTTCGCTGTCAATTGCAGGCGTCGCGTCGTTAGATTCGGTTGCTGGAACATCGCCCGGGGGAAATCAACGTGTGTCAGATGATGTCTACGTTACGAAATTCTATAATGGCGTTGTTGAACATTTCAAGGTCTGAGAAACCTGCCTATCAAAAATGTACTAGTCATTTATGTATTTTTTCTATCTCAGTGTTTTAAAGTTGGAGAGGATTCAGAGTCCTCTGAAGTGACTCCAACGGTGGACGTTGTATCGACGTATTTCGCTCACAGAACAATTCCTGGTTTGTTGATCCAGGACGTGAAAATCCTCAATCCGACGTCTGTGTCGGTGTTCTTTAATATTCAGCAGATCGGCATTCAACCATGGAGTGGATCGAAAATAATACATCGCACGTGAGTGATGGAAGAATTTCTTCTGAATACCCCTGAGATGTTTTAAGGAAATGGCGAGGAAGAAAAAAATGTCCAGAAAAAAAGCTTTATGACCCAGTTCCGGATCTCCAAAAAATCTGGTTTTTTTCCTAGTTACATGGGAAAAATCTACGAAAGCATAGATGCGAAAATCCCTCCCAATTATTTTTAGATGGATTGTCGCAGTTGCGACAATCTAGTGATTGGTTTTGATGTACCGCACACTGGTGATGAAAACTAGGAGGTTTTTACTTAGTTGTTTTAGTTATTTTAGATGTTTTAAGGAAATGGCGAGGAAGAAAAAAATGTCCAGAAAAAAAGCTTTATGACCCAGTTCCGGATCTCCAAAAAATCTGGTTTTTTTCCTAGTTACATGGGAAAAATCTACGAAAGCATAGAAAATCCGAGAAAACGTGCTACTGTACTCAAATATTCTGAGAAATCAAAACAAAATTTTCGATTGACCGCTCTGGACTTCTTTTCGCTGGGGCCATACAGTACTTCTCAAGTTCTTCCCTTGAGGATTATGCAATGCTTCCCGTAATACAGTCATGATAATAAAATTAATCTCCTAAAAATGGAAGAAGGCGCTGTCATATGTTCTGTCAATTGTAAAAAGTTGAATTCTTCAGGGTGTACTTGATTGTTGATTCTTTCTACATGCAGGCTTTCGTATGGAGACGGGGATCATGACTATGTGATTGCTACGGGGATGATCGAGGATGGAGTCGGAGGAAAGATTGCGGCAGCGATTACCTTCCCTAAGCTTGCTTCTGGATTAACAGTGAGAGTCATTGTCAAGCTTTATTTCGGGAAGTCTTCGTATCAATGAGATCATTTCTTCCAGGTTGATGCGAAAGGATCAAAATCTTTGAGAGTTATGACTGCTGTCGCGTATAGTCCAGTGTTAGATGGCGAATCGAAGTTGGAAACTGTGATTGACGATCTTAAAACTGAAGTGATCGAGGTGCGTCTTTTATTTTACTTTTTTAAGCATAATAAGAAACGTTTACGATGCAACAATTTTTTTATGCATCAGTTGATCGTCGATTCTTCAATTCGCTCATTCTTTCCGAAATGTCTACAGGTGATAAAAGAGGCCGTGAGTATATCATTTTCGAAGCTACACAGTGAGCACTTGGCAGTTTGGCAAAATCTCTGGGGTTCTGGATTTTTCATTTCAAAATCGCTCGCAGAAGGTACTTGAAATTTCTTTCATTTTCCGTTGTCTCTGCATTTTCTTATCCAGGTAGACTTTCTGTCTACTGCAATTTTCTCTGTACTGTAAAACGGATTTTTTTTTTTCAGTCACAGGACCTGTAATTCATGCGCCCACCTTTTAGTATCCTGGATTTGAATTCATGGTTACCTGTGGAGTCCCTCCAAAATTATACTGGGACGCTATTTATTTTTTTAGCAAAGAATTTTGTTGCAGAGAAGCTGCGTTTACATAGATCTAAAGCCAGTAGAGAAAAGAAAGAAAATTATTTTTATGGAGGAAACGGGTAGTCCACCTTTATTGACCATTTTTCGTCCATATTAAGGAACTGTATATATTTATGAAACCGTATTATTTGATGCGACCCTTGTTTTGTATTCCCGAAAATTATTTAATCGCAGTGACGCTCTTCATTGAATTCTATTTGTCTGTTCATCTTAGGTGCCTTGAATGGAGACAAGATCAATGCCACTATGTATTACGTGATGTCTCATTCCCCCGCCCCGATTCATTGGAGAACGACGACGGATGCGACGAGGCAAGCTCTGTTCTCGGAGCTTTTCTATGCAGAAGGCTGCTATGCGGATCATCAAACCTTGATGTTAGTATTGTGGTTTCTCCCGTGAATGTACTGTAATTTTGTGTCACGCATGAAATCAATTCCGATATTTGCTTTCTCGGATGCCTCGGACAGTCAAATTACCAATTTTACCGAGTTAATCTAACCTATCTTAGACTTGAGATGTAACAGCTAATGTGATAGCAGAAGGAACCTGGATTAGGTTGCGTCAAGTTTTGAACGAAAAATAAGCATGGGGAAACCAAAAATATTAAGAATTCGAATGATGTATCGTAGTGATTGGAAATCCGTCACGATGTTTTGGGATGCCTGATTTTCTGGTCGATTGATTTAATCTACCCGTTTGATCAATTACACCTGCTCATCGAATGTATTGATTAAATGTAAATGTTAAAAATTTTAAATGTAAATTTAAAGGATTTTAAAGTTTAGCATGGTGAGATTGATGGTGCTGTCTAGAAATAAATTTAATGTGTGCCTGCTTCTTGTAACCCTTCGAAACACTAAAAGCTGTCAACGTTTTTTTCTATTTTATAACTGATCTCGAATTTTTTTTTCAGCGAATCGGCAGCCTTGTGGGGCGACTTGAAGACGCTGACGTCAGTGAACCGCATTGTGTACTACTGGCTGACGACCCTAGAGAAGCGGGGGTGTCACAAGCTGATCGCTGTCGGTGCCGACGGCGTCGTACGAGCCATGGTGCTCAGCTTCGGCGCCTTTAAGTACTCGAACCACCACCTGGAGTTCAGGACTCCGCCCAAAGATCTGCACCGTGACGTCACATTTCGTCACTTGGCTTACGGGAATGGTACTTTCCTCACTGTGTCGGTCGTCATAAAAGATGACAATAAGCCTTGGCTTATTGTCGCCTTGGATTCCGTTTCGACGCCCGTGAAGCCCAAGGGGGTGCCGGATGAAATTTGGGCCTGCGACGCGGGTTGCTTGGATCCGCCGAAAACTTTGACGTAAGTGTAACAATTTCTTTTATTACCCTTTTAGCGTTGACAGTAGAAGTATTCCGGCATCCGATCACTGGTATCCAATTTTAGAGTCATTATGAGGTGTCGAAGAGGTACAGTATGTGTTCCTTGTAGTTTTCATCCGAGACGTATTGCCTAATCTCGGGGCAGAATTGTAACGTTTTTTTCTTAGATTAAATTCGCTTAGACGTTCATGTTCATTGATCAAACTTCTTGATTTGAAAGAATGTTTGATACAGTTTTACTTGAGGGTATAAATTTCGTCCGTCGTGATTTTTAATCTGAAAAAGGCAATCGGTGAAGCACTGTGTTGTTGTAAAGGGCTTTCTCACTATTCTCAGTTTTTTATTGTAGCTAATGTGATCATTGATGGCCAGGAGACGCTGAGAAAAATTTGGACGATCGCTTCATCTGCTAGCTTTCGTTTAATATTGCTAGAAATTGAGTTGAGCAAATATTTGATGCTTACAGAAAATGATCGTCAGTTCAATCGTGGCAATAGGGAACTGTTTCGAATTAATTTTCCGAGAGGAAGAAAGATTGTCAATTCTGATCTCATTATTTGCGGCATGCACTTCTTTGAAGCTGCGGATATACCGTATGTTTCATTAATCTGGTACAGTAGATATTTTTTACGTTCGTCCATTCCATCTTTCTTCCATTCATTCATGCCAGGGTATTTTTTTCCACAGGACACAACCGCAGACCTTCCCTGTGAAGTT